AGTGGGCACCAAGCAAGGCTCTAGCATTGCTTTATTCAGTCCTCAACGGTTCTAATAGGGCAGGGATCTTGGGCCCCATTTTACGGAGGAGGCACCCAGGCCTCACCAAGGGAACTGCTCCAGGTCGCAGGGCTTGGGGAGTGTGTCAGGGCTGAGTGTAGACCCAGGTGTGTGTAATATCCTACAGAGCTCCTATGCTAGGCTATATGGCCACTGTTGTCCACCTCCCACTTGAGGGTTTACCAGCCTGGATTTTATGGAGTGCTTTCATGAGAATTTGGCCTGCTTTTACCTTTTTACCCAGCAGTAGTGGAATTGAGTGGGTACCCCAGTTCATGGATGCATTGAAGGGTAGACTATTGGCTGGAAGTCTGTTTTTGGAGTCCAAGTTCATTGCTGTTTGCATTTCAACACAACTGCTTTCAAAACTATAGATCATAACCCAGGCATATTGTCATCTTCTCCTAATTCTTTATTATTTATTTAAGTGCATGTTGAAAATATATCTTAGGCAAGGAAAGGGCAATGTGGCTTAAAAAACAAACAAACAATAACTCTGGTACTCTTCAGCAATAGATCCAGAATTGAGTCATATTCATTCTGATGACCTGTCAGAAACCCTGTTTAAACTTCTATATGTATCCTTTTTTCTTTAAATTTGGTCTACCCAGACTGTGTGTGAAAAAGCACATATCACATTCTGTCTGTAGAAAAGGAATTGGATCTGGAGGCAGGCACCAGCTTCAGATGTCATCTCCAACAGTGGTGAGCTGGGTAAACTCTCTGGCCTCAGCTTCCCTGTCTGTAAATTGGGCCAGTGACAGCTAACTCATGGGGTTGTGGGCATTCGGTGAAAAATTATATTGTTAGCCCTCAGTGTGATACCTGGCTGGGTGTTCATGTTATAATGACTTCCTTCCTTCCTTTCCAGTTCTCATAGCCATCTTGTCTCCCATCTCCAGGGTGAGTATGTGGTTTAAGGCTCCCAAGCTGTAGACGAAGGTATTTCCACATGGCTGTTCATGCCGAGAATGTCGAATCCTGTGTGTGTTATTAAACAGTAACACTGATTACTCACTGTCTTGAACACACCTTGCAGGTTATCCCGCCTGGCTCTGAACATGCCGTTCTCTGTATGCAGAACGTCCACCCACCTGACCAGTCAGTTGGCCTTTATCCCTGAGCTCACACAGAATGTAGTGTAGACCTCCCTCCACCACACACCTCCCATCTCAGTTTGTACTCCTGCCTGTGCTATCGGCTTCACACGGTGTGTACTTGCTGTGATCCCATCACACTCCCTGCCCCGCCCTGCATGGCCTTTCTTCTTTCATAAACATACTAAGCTTGTTTCCCACCTCAGGGCTTTTGCATTCGCTGTTTCCCTCAGCAATCTGGGAAGCTGTCCAGGTTTTCTTTTCTTTCTTTCTTTTTTTTTTTTTGAGACAGAGTCTCACTTTGTTGCCCAGGCTAGAGTGAGTGCCATGGCGTCAGCCTAGCTCACAGCAACCTCAAACTCCTGGGCTCAAGCAATCCTCCTGCCTCAGCCTCTCGAATAGCTGAGACTGCAGGCTGCAGGCTGAGACTGCACCATGCCTGGCTACTTTTTTCTATATATATTAGTTGGCCAATCAATGTCTTTCTATTTATAGTAGAGACGGGGTCTCGCTCTTGCTCAGGTTGGTTTCGAACTCCTGACCTCAAGCAATCTGCCGGCCTCAGCCTCCCAGAGTGCTAGGATTGTGCAGATTTTCTTATAATGAATTCTTTCCAAGCTCAGATCCCATGGCATTTACTGCTACCTGAAGTGATAATATATATTCACTTGTTTATTATCCATGTCCTCTGGTGGAATCCTCCTTGTGAGGAGAGGACTTTGGCACGTACCCGCCAGCATCTGCAGCTGTGTCTGACGTGTCGTAGGTCCGAGGGGAATATTTGTTGAGCAAGTGAGCCTGTGTCTCTGTCTGTTGTTGTACTTCAGTGAGTTGTAATTACTTGTTGACACGTCCCACTTCCCCACTGGATCGTGTGGCTGCCTCAGGGTAATTTGTCTTTCAGTCCCCAGGGCCAGGTATGTGTTCAGTATATGTTTCCTGAATATGTGAGTACGAAAGTTGGAATCTGAGAAGGTGTACCCTCAAAACCCGTGGAGGCCGCTGTCCACCACAGAATGTCCATCAGTGCCATTGGTAGAACAAGCGCTGGCCGGAACAGGCTGCAGTTGTTCTCTTGTTCTCATGGCCATTCTTTTTTTGTTGTCGTTTTTTAGAGACGGGGTCTCGCTCTTGCTCAGGCTGGTCTTGAACTCCTGAGCTCAAACGATCCTCCTGCCTCAGCCTCCCAGAGTGCTAGGATTACAGGTGTGAGCCACTACACTCAGCCATCATGGCCATTCTTCACTGTTCCCTGACCCTTTGCTTTGTCGGGGTCTTCACCCTGTGCTGTTCTTTGGGCAAACCCTGAACAAGCCCTTCCCCCACCCCCCAATCCATCCTGTTCTTTCTGACCTCATCTCATGTCTCTTGCTCACAGAAACCTTCCCTGGCCCACCTGCCCTGACCAGGTGCTGGCTCTGCAGAGCTTCCTGAGAACAGTGCTGTGTGTTTGCTCTTCATTTGATCCTCAGAGCACATTGTCCTTGGTAAACATCTGTTGGACGAATGAGTAAGGAATTAGTGCTGGCATATTTGCATACTCATGTCCATGGCAACATTTTTCACAATAGCCAAGAGGTGTGAGTAGCTCACTGTCCACTGATAGAAGAGCAGATAAACAAAATGCATTATACACATTCAGTGGAATATCATTCAGCCTTAAAAAGGAAGGAAATTCTGATACATAGATGAACGTAGCTTCAACATAGGCGAACCTTGAGGACATTAGGCTACGCGAAGTTAAGCAGGTCACAAAGACAAATACTGTACGATTCTGTTAGTATGTACATGATGTATCTAATGTGGTCCAATTCATAGAATCAAAAAGTAGTAGAATGGTGGTTGTCAGGGACTGGGGGAAGAGGGAAACAGGAAGTTGTTGTTTAATGGGTATAGAGTTTCACCTTTGCAAGGTGAGAGTTCTGAAGATTCACGGTAGTGTGAATATACCACTGTCTTCGTCTGTTCCTGCTCCTATGACAAAATACCTAAAACCGGGTAATTTATAAAGAACAGGAGTGTATTTGCCTGCAGTTCTGGATGCTGGGAGGTCACAGATCAAGGCGCCAGCAGATGTGGTGTTACTGGTGAGGGCTGTTCTCTGCTTCCAAGATGGCGCCTTGCTGCTGCATTGCCACAGGGAGGACGGGGTGGGAGGGGCAAAGGCTACGTCCTCACACGGTAGAAGGCAGAAGGACAAAAGGGCCTTTCCCCAAGCCCTTTTTTATAAGGACACCGATCCCTTTCCTGAGGGTGACGCCCTCTTGATGTCATCGCTTCCTTAAGGCCCCGCCTCCTAACACTACCGCATTGGCTCTTAGGTTCCAACATATGAATTTTGGGGCAACATAAACATTCTAGCCATAGCAACTACTGAACTGTCTATATCAATAGTTGATCCCCGAACAACGTGAGGGTCGGGATGCTGACCCCCCCGACTCCCTGCCCAGCGAAAATTCAAGTATAATTTCTGACTCCTCAGAAACGTAACTACTGATAGCTACTGTTGACCAGAAGCGTTACCAATAACATAAACAATTGATTAGCACATTTTGTCTGTTATATGTATTATGTACTGCTTTCTTACAATAAAGGAAACTAGAGAAAAGAAAATAAATAAGGATGAGAAAAGTATATTTCCTATTCATTAAGTGGAAGTGGGTCAGCATAAACGTCTTCATCCTTTCATCTTTACACTGAGGAGGCTGAAGAGGAGAAGGAAGAGGAAGAGTTGGTCTTGCTATCTTAGGGGTGGCAGAGGTGGAAGAAGTAGAAGGGGAGGTAGGAGAGGCAGGGCATACCTTTATTGAAAAAAAAATCCGTATATAAGTGGACCTGTGCAGTTCAAACCCATGTTGTTTAAGGGTCTACTGTACTTAGAAACAGTTAAGATGGTAAATGTAGTCATTTTTAGCACAATTAAAAAAAAGAATTAGTATTGCCAGAACCTACTTCCGGAAATCCCTATAGAAGGATCCAGAATTAAGTCCTAGAACAACTGTGATTTCTGGGCACTATGCATGAACTTAAGAGAAGGAAGTACTTATTTCTCCATCAGAGTAAGCTCAAGTGTTTTCCTAAGGACTGTCAGAGTGAAGGAGTGAGCTGGCCCGAAGCCCGCCTGAGTTGCGTGGCCGAGCCTGCCCGGCTTGTGCGGAGCCTGCACATGTCTGCACAGACCTGGCCCAGTCCTGGCCTCCCGCTCTGCTTCCAAGGGTCCCGCTTCCATGTGAGATTTCAGACATAAAATTTCATTTGTTTCCGATCCCGTTTAGCTCTTGTAACACTGACTGAAGAACTGTACTGAGGACTTGTTCCCATAGCGTCCTGGGGGAGCACGTGACCATTTTCAAGTGCCTATTCAGCCCCAGCACGAGCGTGCTTTCATTTCTCGCTGACGTTGACCTTCTGCGGTGTAGATGGTATTACCTCCATTTTACAAAGAAGAATACGGCATACCCAAGGCCCCACATCTGAGTGACAGAACAAGGATTTCGCCCAGTCCTTGTGACTTTAAAACTCACTTTCTTGCCTCTGCTCCAGGTTGTTTCCTGTATGGCCTCCCTCATGGTCCAAATTTATGTACATCTCAGTCTCAAGCAGATAACACACTCTTCGTTTGCAAACTGCTTGGCCCAGCCCTTTGGTATGTAACATGCACTGCAGTAGCAAGAATAACCCCGGCACCCCAAGACCAGGCTTTTGAAATCCCAGCCCCAGCTCCCAAGCCCTAGGCATCCCACAAAATCTTTGCTAGATGTTCAGAAACCTAAAATTTCAACACCACCCCCCCACCCCCACCTCCCTTCCCCAGTGGTAAAGACAAAGAAACAGATGGCAGGGCTCTTTGTTATTCTTTTATCTGCTAAGTTTTCAGAAAGGTTAGAAAGTGGAGAGAACTTTGCTGAGCAAACACTCTGTCCCCGCTGGCTCCGAGCTGCACCAACTGCCCAAGTCTTATCTTCCCCTTGCTTGTTATCTCCAAGGATGTAAAACATTTTTTCTCCATGCCTTTTCATTTCTCTGTAACACTAGCCATTCGGTTGGCCTGAAACATTACCAATTCATTTCCTGCTGGCTTTTACCTCTGTGTGTGTGTGTCTGTGTATGGGAGGGTCTACCTTGTATAAATAAATACTTTTCTGAATATTCTTTTGCATAGTATGGCTCTAAAATGTCCCATTGACTTAATAATTTCTACTTAGACTCTGAGTCATTTTATATGCCCAAAAGAAATATCTTAATGCTCTCGTTCCCCGGGAAGGGAGAGAGGGAGGAAAAGAAAGCTAATGTTACGGCCGTGCAAATCCAGACTGCTTTCTTTTCGTCCTTACAAGTGGTGCTTTTCAAAGCGTTTGGCGTCCCTGCTGTATGGATGTGTCACTGTGCAAGATGACAACAGGATTTGCTGGGAATGTGGGCCACTATTGTGTCCGCCTTACGTAACCACGTGGAGTGATGGAAATGGGTGAGCAGCCAGGGATGTAGGCGGTGGCCTGACCCATGATCTCCGGAGGCCATGAAGACTGCTCAGGTCTTCCACAGGATGTGGATCCAGGCTGTTAAAAAGTTGGGGAGATTGAAAGGCCATGTGAGTCCCTCTGCAAGCTGTTGTCCCCTTTTTCTTTCCCATCATTTCTTTGCAGGGAGGGAGGGGGAGCCAAAACCCCTCTCACAGTGACTCCTTTATCCTCGGATTTATTTGTGTGCTTTCTGGCAGCTTTCGGCAACAAATTGTGAGGTGGTAGATTGTAGTCAATGGTGGGTTTTTAAAATTCTTGTCTTATTTTTAGCAGACCTATGCAAACCTGATAGCCTCTTTTTGGATTTGTGGCTCAAAGGCTGCTGTTTTCTGTGTGTTGGGAACCTGCAAGCGTGGTTTTGATTCCTGGGTAGAGTTTAACATCCTGCCTTGTGTGTTTATTTGTGTTTGAGAATTTCTTGTTTTGGGATGAAACTTTTTGCTTTCTTATTTTGCAGAAATCTGTACCCTTATTCTTTTGTCTAGCTTCAAAACTATAGGGAAAAAATATGTTCTTTTTTTTTTCTTTTATAGTTTGAGCTTATGCAGTACTGTAACATGTATGTTCACTTTTATGACTTTATTTAGCATGTAACTTATGGGCATCTTTGGGTTAATCTTTGGTTTTAGCTATAACCTCCATCACTGGGAAGCAGCACTTTGTGGACATAGAACATAAAAGTTGCGTGTTCACTTTGGGCAGTGAAGATGTTGACATCTGTCTTGTGGTTGGTTTTTAATATGTTTTGCGTGTTCTTTATATAATACATATAGAATTTTTATTTGGCCAAGGTTTTTCGAAGGAAGGAAGCTTTATACAAAAGTAGAAGGTTTTTAAAAAAAAATCAAGTAACTATTAATATTTGCCTTAGTCCCATTCTCTTCTTCAATCATACAAATACCTTACTGTTAACACAAAGTTTTTTATTTATGGTAGAAAGATTAGCTCACTTTCAACTTTCCATGGGGTCCAGGAATGACTTGTTATGATATGGAGGGGATTGTCATTAACACTATTTACGTGAAAGGTAAAAGTGACAAGGAAAAATGATGAAAAGGACATTGAGGATGTGCCTTGCAAATGGGATGTTGACGGTTGGGGCTGAAATGGTGACCTGGCATCCCTGCATCCTCTGCTTCCCAGATTTAACCTGCACCTCCACCCTGCCCGTGCCTTTCTCTGCCTCCCTCACACCTCTCAGATTACTGGTACCACCTTCCACCTTGCCCTGTCTCCACTCGAAATTATTACACTCTCTTTTGCTCTTTGAACTGTGTTAAAGATTTGGCATTAGGTATGCCTGTACCATTCTGTTTTGGTTGGTATTGGGTCCTTCACCAGGGATCAGTGTTCAGTTTGATGTTCACCCACTCATCTCCCTATTTGTTAAACCTATGGAATGTTTGGTACCCATAAAAGAATTAAGTATCTAAATCATGAAGCATAATAATTAAACACATACCATGAGCCCATCACACATATACATAGTAGACCCTTACCGACCTCACTCTAGCTCCTTCCCAAGTCACTTCATGCTGAGTTTTGTGTTTTTTATTCTTTTACTCTTTCTTTATAGTTTTACCTTGTACATGTACACAAAGGTATCCCTAAACAAAAGATTAGTTTTGTTGGCTTATTTTTTTTTAATTTTTTGCTGTTGTAGAAATCATGTAACATAAAATGTACCATCTTAACCGGTTGTAAGTGTACAATCAGTAGTGTTAAATGTATTCACGTTGTTGTGAAACATTGTTTGCTTTTTGGACTATATGAAAATATCACACTGGACAAACTCTTCTGGGATTATTTTTCACTCAACATTATGCTTGAGATGCATCCGTGTCATGGTGATGTGTGACTGTGGTTTTCACTGCAGTACAATATTGTATTTTGCTAATATATCACAATTTATTTCTCCATTCTGCTCTTGCTAGATATTTTGGTTGTTTCCACGTTTTGGCTGTTGAGAACATTGCTGCCATGAATATTCTATACGTGTATCCATGTACACATATTCACACACTTCTCTAGGGCCTTGGAGAGGAATCATTAGGTCCGTGAAATGTATATATCTTTAATATAAGTGTGCTCTTCCTGTGGCCCTGCATGTAAAGATCCCCAAATGCTAAGCAGCCACCTGCTGACATTCATGCAGAGAAAGGTCAAATGAATATCGATAGCAAATCTGATTTGTGCACAGCCAAGCACAGGCTGGGTGGGGCCAGAGCCCACTGGCCCAGTTTGAATGGCATGAGCTCAGCTCTCAGCTAAGCCGCTGCACGCTGGCAGCCTGTCCCCAGGGATAGTCCCCGAGCTGATGTTCTGAGGAATAATTATGTGGGGTGCTTTGTGTTTCTGGAAAGGTAATATATAAATGAGGCAGGGAAGATACACAATGATTTGCATTTGGGGTCCACCCGTGGTTAGTTGGTAAACTCCACAACGGCTTTGGTTATTTTATTTACTAATGTATCCAAAGTGCTACAAAGCACATGCTTGGCACATAGTGGATGCTCGGTAAATATTTTTTAATGAATGTTCTGTACTTTCACAGAAAATGCAGTGTTTTCTGTGAGACTTTTGCAAAAAGGCTCAGTTCTGTGGGCTAAACACACATGGATATGGTGTATGTTTAATGCTCAAAGGAGCTAATAAAGTTTATTTTTACTCAATTTCCCCACCTTTAAAATTAAGGTTTTATATTTATCATTTAGTTTAGCAGAGCATATATATTCTTTTAACATTATGTTTAAGTAGTTAATGGTTATGTCAACCTGTTAACCATAGGTAAGAAACAACCTCTTAGAGTTTGCTCAGTTTCGTTATCGAATTGCTGAGAAGTAAGCACCAAGCTAGTTTACAGCAGGGTCTGATTGATTGCAAATTTGATTCAGCCCATCGGTGGTGGTAGTGGTAGGAGATTAATCCTCTCAGACAAATTTAATTTAAATCTCCCTTACAGACGCACAGGAATACTTAAACTGTGATCTCATTATGGAAGGACTGTGAATTTCAAAAGCCAGCTTCATTCTACTTGAGCGATATTTTAAAAATAAAATTTTGCAGGAACTCATTTATTTGGCTAAATGATTTAAAAAACACTTTAAATCTGAAACTTTTAAAAGAGAGTTTGCAGTTTTTATATTAAAATAAAAATGTATTCTAAAAGTAATAGACTCATAAAAATATTCTGTCATACCCTAGCTCCTTGGGAAATTCAACATTTTTTTTGTATCTTTCTAGTCTTTTTCCTATTCGCTTACATAAATATATATTCATGAAAATAGGAATAAATAATGATGTTTTTTATCTTGTTACCCCCCACCCCTACATCACAGACATTTAAGTATAGATCTCTTTATATGTAACCAATCCCCTACTGTTGGACATTTGATTAGTTTCCTATTTAATAAATTATAGGTGATTATAAACAAATTTATACATATCTAGGTTATCTTTGTGCACATGTGTGACTATCTATATAATAAATTTTTAGAAGTAGAGTTGATCCATGGAAAGCGTGTCCATATTTAACATTTTGATACATAATGGTAATTTGCCCCGGGAAAGTTTTGTACCAATTCCCACCACTTATGCCAACAGTGGACAGACCTGAAAATGTATAATGAATTATGTCTGTCTCTATTTTTCTCTTTCTCTTTATTTAAAAACATGGGCATCATGGTAAAAACATTTTTTTTAAAAACTAGTGAACATTAAATAATTATTTTCCATGCCTCCACATTTCATCGTATTGATGTGCCTTCATTTAACCTAAATATCACTCCCTGTCTGCATGTTCCGTACATACCATCCTCCAGCCCTAGGGATGATTGTCCCAGTACTGGTCAGTTTTTTCCTGATGATTTTAGAATAATTTTGGGAGGGAGGGTGCTATATGATTTTTTTTTTCTCAACGTGTGGGGTTATACCTGTATCCAAAGAAGAGTTGGCAGCTGTATTTATTTTACCGCAACTTCCAAAAATTGAAACTTGCCAGCTTTAAGGTAGAGGAGGAAGGTACTGAGAGGATGAGCTTGGAAAAGCACGTGTGCTCACAAGGTCATTTCCAGGTGGTAATGGCTTGATTTTACTGAAGCCACATCTGAACATGAAAGTGGCAAGGAGGTAGGAAGGTATTCTATGGAAAACGAAAGGACAACCAATTCCAGTTTACTACCAGAGTTCAATTGGGTTTCTGCTTTCCGGTTCCCTTTAAGAATACTTCTGAAAGAATATAAAACTTTATTAAAATCTTGGAAAGTGTGTTATTCTGGCATACGTTGGAAAATGCTATTTTAGACATAGATAATAAGTGAGTACATAGAGGGAGAGAAACTAAAGAATTACAAATTCCTCTCCATATGAGTAATCAGTTGCAGCTACTCAAGAGTAAGCTAGTTTACTTTCCTCTGTACAAACAAAACAGCCTCTGCTTGACCCTTTCCTATCAAAGGGAATAAATTATCTGCTCCAATGTATTATTGGTTGATAATCGCCTTTTGTACCGAGCTTCTTTCCCCCAAGCCTTAGAGTTTAACTAGGGAAAACATTATTATCTGGATATTTTTCAAGTCTTGTCTGTCTCTATTAGTATCAGTGCAGGAATGGCAAAATTGATTAAAAATTTTTTTTAATGTAGAACAACCGGTTAGTTTTTCTTAAATTATTTTAATTTGTATATAAATTCAGCAAGGCTTTTTATTTATAAATAAATTTAGATTACTTTGTATTCTTATGTTTTAGGTATTCTCTATTTAAAAGATATATAGCTGGATCTTCTTGTTTCTAATCTAGTCTGACAATCTGGTTTTTTTAATACTGTGATTACTTTTCTATATTCTTCTATATTTTTTTCTACAATCATAGTTTATGTTTTATATTTGCCCTGCTATTTCTACATTTCCCTTTTACCTTCTTTTGGATTGAGTATTGTTTTTTTTTCATTTTATTTTTCCCCTCTGCTCTTTTGGAAGTTATGTCCTCCAAATTATTCTCATAGTACTTATCCTAGAAAATCAAACATGTAGATTTAACTTAATGAAGTTCAAAATTAATCAGTAGCTTTATCTTGCCCTTGAATAAAATATTTAGAAGGTTCATCATGACTAGGTTCTCTTGATTTATATACTATTTTGCTCAGTGCTTTGGTTCTATCTTTTTTTAAAAAATAAATTAGACATTATTAGTATAATTGCATTGGTCTATATGCATTTAGGTTTACTGACATTCCTTCTTACATTTTTAGGCCTTCTGGGATTGTTTTCCTTCTTAAATTTATTCTTTGAAAATTCTTTTATTGCTAGTCTATGGTAATACTCTATCCTTGTTTTTTCTTTTAAATCTTTTCTGCCCTCTCAATTCACAGATAATGTTTTAAAGATATAATTTTAAGCGTGATAAAGATACCGTTTTTGATTCACCCTGCTATAATGTATTGGGTTTTCTAAAGCTGAGAAATCTCCAATTGTGGAAGAGCCATTACTTTGTGGGCATTGCGTCTGCCCTACACTCTTACCTCTTTTAGGAACTCTTACTCATTTTTTTTTTTTTTTTGAGACAGAGTCTCACTTTGTTGCCCAGGCTAGAGTGAGTGCCATGGCGTCAGCCTAGCTCACAGCAACCTCCTGGCTCAAGCAATCCTGCTGCCTCAGCCTCCTGAGTAGCTGTGACTACAGGCATGCGCCACCACGCCTGGCTAATTTTTTGTATATATATTAGTTGGCCAATTAATTTCTTTCTATTTACAGTAGAGACGGGGTCTCACTCTTGTTCAGGCTGGTTTCAAACTCCTAACCTCGAGCAATCCGCCTACCTCGGCCTCCCAGAGTGCTAGGACGGGAACTCTTACTTTACTCTTAACCTCTTTTTCACATTTCCCACTTTTGAATGCTTTATGCCACATTGTAGGCAATTTCTTCACATTTGTCTTTCAGTTCATTGTTTTCAACTGTATGTAGTATATGGTGGGAATCCATTGTTTATGTAACTTCAATTATATTTTTCTCATTTCTAAAAATTTTATTTACTGCTTTTTCAGATTTGGTTGGTCATTTTTGATGGTCTCTTGTTATTTCATTAGACTCTCAATAACCCCTTTTAATTTTGATACATATTATATATATTCTTTTTTGTCTGTCACTGATATTTCCAATATGTACAGTCTTTGATTCTTCAGTTTATGTTTCCTATATGTTTCATGGTTTATGTTTCATGGTGACTGGAGTATGTTTAAATTGTGAACTCATGTTCCTTAGATAGATAGTGTCTTTGAAGGCTGTGTTTAGTGTGTTCTTTGGAGAGGATTTGCGTGTGGCACTGCGGTGCAGAATCACTTTGCCCGTGAGTTGTCATAGGGGAGTGTGGTCACATCTGTAATATGAATTTCAGTCCCAAATCTGTGTGTGTACAGGTCTGTTGATAGAAATTCTTCAAGGAGATATTTTTAGTTATTTCTACTCTACCTACAGCAAGTATCCCTGCTGTTTCCATCTGCATGGTGGTATTTCCCCCCTAATATATCCACTTGGATCTAATCTGCCACCCCATTTGGGTGCTCAGCCTGCTGTTTAAATGCCTGCTTCAGGACTGGCTCATCTGTGGTTTTGAACTTTCTTGGCATTTCTAGCCTTTTCAAAGGCAGCCTGCACTTAATGGATTATTATTATTATTATTATTTATTTATTTATTTATTTATTTTGAGACAGAGTCTCACTTTGTTGCCCAGGCTAGAGTGAGTGCCGTGGCGTCAGCCTGGCTCACAGCAACCTCAATCTCCAGGGCTCAAGCGATCCTCCTGCCTCAGCCTCCTGAGTAGCTGGGACTACAGGCATGCGCCACCATGCCCGGCTAATTTTTTGTATATATATTTTTAGTTGGCCAATTAATTTTTATTTCTATTTTTGGTAGAGACGTGGTCTCGCTCAGGCTGGTTTCGAACTCCTGACCTGGAGCAATCCGCCCGCCTCGGCCTCCCAAAGTGCTAGGATTACAGGCGTGAGCCACCGCGCCCGGCCTGGATTATTATTTTTAAAATGACATCACCACTATTGGGTTTTTCTAGACTGTTTTGGAATATTGTCAGAAGTGGAAGCCCCAGTTATCTAGTTATGAAGGCATTTTCATCTTTCATACCCAGTAATAGTGAGAAAAAGCCAAAAGATCCCACAGATTACCCAACTGGGCACATGCTATGATAAAGCCAAGGATATTTTCGATATAACCACAGAAAATTTGCCTACAAGGTCACCTTTGACAGGAAGGAGGGAGGGTATTGGTTTAAAAAACAAAAACAAAAATCTGTTTTAAACTAGATTTTTAAAGTGGTTTTACGATGACAGTGCTTTGGAGTGGTGATAATAAAAGAGCTCAGCACTTAACATTTTATCCTTTTTACGGTCTGTCTCACTGTATATTTCACTAATTTTCTAGTTTTATTTCTAGCCATTTCATTGAAGGAGAGTGTGTTTGAAAATACGTAGCATAATGAACAAATATTAACTCTTCCTGGCATATAGAAAATGTCAGCTGGACTTTTATATTGAGGCATTTTGAATTATAATTTTATTTCTAGCATTGAAGTGTTTGTGATTTTAATCAAATGGGTTTTGCTTATTTTAAAACAGGCCCCAGGCATGGAAGAGCTGATATGGGAACAGTACACTGTGACCCTTCAAAAGGTGAGTTCTGCACATTATTCTACAGTCACGTACTTGATTTTCCAGGTCACGGATCTTATTTATTTATTTTCCAGATCACATTTTTTGGTGTTTTCTCCCTTGAGGTGGAGAGTACATTGTAGGTGATAGCTGGCAACAATTACTGTATTAATAAAGATTTGCTTACTATTATATTTTTTGGTTAAGACTTGTAAAATATAGCACATTTTAGAGGTTATTTATTGTGTTCACCTATCTCTAGACAGAACAGGTTATGAAAGAGAGAAAAGAAAGGGAAGAGTGAAAATAACCTGTACTGTTGAAGGATGTTGAGATAGCTTTTACAACTTCTATAATTTTAATTATACACGCATACCTTATAACAACTTCAGTGAGTTTTAAATCCAAACTAAATTTGAAAAGATTGCGTTGGGAATCAGGAGACATGGATTCTATTCCTTGACCCACTCCTGATTATATTAAAAAGGGTTGAGTTAATCGAATTAAAGTTTTCTGTCTCCTTCCACCTCCCTACAATGGGATTGAAAGTAGAAGTGATACCACATGTAAATAGATTTCACTTCTTTTTTTGAAGTCATTTCTCAAGTATCATCCTTCTTGATTAAATGAGGTGATGCATACAGCTTCTAATCCATGGAGTCTGACACATGGTTGATGCTTAATAAATACATATTAGCTCTATTCTTTTTTATTCTGACAGCAAAATTCAAGGTAGTCATGGTAAGTGTTAGCCCCACTCTAAACAAGAGTAGCAGCAGAGTATGTAAGTCATATGTAAGGCGCAGCTGGACTAGAACTGTGCTCACCATCCTGAATTCTCACTCCATCAAGCTGCCTTCATGTTGGCATTGCAGCGATTTTCCAAGGCCCTGCAGAGATCTTCTTCCTCCTGAATCCCTCGAGTCGCTGTCATTTCCTGGGTGGGGGGATTGTAAGTTCCTCAAAGGGAGAGTTTTCCTTTGACTATCAGAATCATGAGCTTTGAGCCTTGTCTTCAATGAAAATTTGGCTCCTGAATTAAATGTTTGTTGAATTAATCCAAGTAGAAAAAAATGTCACTGGGTCAGAGCCCATGTGCTCAAACTTTCGGATCAGTGATCATGGATTTTTTTTCACTTGAGGGATTTTGCCTGTTTAGGTCTTATTTTCAACTCTTGTCCTCTTTCTGACTCTAACCTCATGCCCTTTCCCCCAGTATTTCATATACTCCATGAATTGTGGACCCCAAATTTGCCGAGATGAGAAACCTTTTAGGCTTGATATAGAGGATGGGGCTGCCACTGTCTAAAACCAGGTGCCAGGTGATGGTGCTGCCAGATTCAAAGCCATATGATTAATAGACAACAACCTAACCTGTTTTGAGTTTGTAATTGTTTATAATTAATCAGCATATTGGGCCCCACATGGGAACTTTTCCTTTGGGGGAAAGATTTTCTTTTATTCTCTGAGTAGATTTTTACATAATCAAACCATGATTTAGGATTATATAGTCACATACACCCATATTATCTGGATGAAACTGGGCTTAGCTTTTTTAAACACTGAATTGATTTAGGATTCCATATTATCTAGAGTCACTGTTAGACATTGCTAGGCCAATCATGGATGTAACAAATCTGTATTTCCAATCTTCTATGCATGTAGAAAAGGGTTTAAGGGTTTGCTGTCTCATAAGATCTCAACACTAATTTTATGGTCAGATTTTACCTTTAAAATCCATGTACTTCTTTTTTGCTCTATATTAAAATGAAACCACTAGCTCATCTAACTTGAAATTAAAGGTATACTTTAAAAATATAATTTTAGCACATACTCAGTTTTTACTGAAGTTTTTCCAGCTCAGGCCAGCCTGATACAAAGAGGTAACAGTTGGTGCTTCAAACAGCACATCCCTGTTTGGACAGACGACAGTATTTCCCATCCCTGACAGCTTCTCGTGATAACTCCAGTCTGCACTATCAATCTTTTCCAGCTCGCACTGGCTGTCTGTTTTAGATAAGGAATTTCCCTTTATAAACCAGTCGGTTGACTGTGACTACGCTTTATGATGTTTCTCGTTTGTTTCTGCAAGCCCGTCTGTTCCCGAAAGTCTCGGGTTATTGATTCGACCTTTATTTTATGGAGTGCTTGTAATAAACCCTGAAAGTTACTTATGGAAGGATATTTAATTTTTCCCCCTAACTCCAATGAACAGGATTCCAAAAGAGGATTTGGAATTGCGGTGTCTGGAGGCAGAGACAACCCCCACTTCGAAAATGGAGAGACATCGATTGTCATTTCGGACGTGCTCCCGGGCGGGCCTGCTGACGGGTTGCTCCAGTGAGTGTCCCCCCTTGTCCCCCAGCCTTGCCAGCTCCCCTGGGCGGCTCCAGACAGGGGGTTTTAGTTGGTGTGTACTTTTTAAAGTTAAAAAAGACCCTTTTCTCTGTAGCATTTAAAAAGCCTTCAGGTGGGAATTGAGGCCATAACACATCATATTTGAACAATCACTCCCCAAACCTTTGGGAACATATCAACTCTGGAGGGAGGAGAGGAGGGCAGCAGTTGTTATCACAGGAAGATAGTGACACATGCCACTCCCAGGTTTAGGAATCGTTTGTGAACATGGAGTTTAAAATTGGCATGCTTTTCCCCCACTGATGCCTACCTAACACTATCTGTGTTTGTTTTAGTTTACATTCTTTAAGAATTTAATGAGGAGACTTTGGCTTAATGCTCATCTTATTTGTAACAGGGATAGAAATTAGGAAAATTTACCATAGGAAAACATAAGTTTTCCAACTCTGGCCTGACGGTATAATATCTTTTTTTATTTATTTATTTATTTTTTTGAGACAGAGTCAGTCTCACTTTGTTGCCTGGGCTAGAGTGCTGTGGCATCAGCAACCTCAAACTCCTGGGCTCAAGCAATCCTCCTGCCTCAGCCTCCCAAGTAGCTGGGACTACAGGCATGTGCCACCATGCCTGGCTAAATTTTTCTATATATTTTTAGTTGTCCAATTAAGTTTTTTCTATTTTTAGTAGAGACGTGGTCTCGCTCTTGCTCAGGCTAGTCTCGAACTCCTGACCTTGAGCGAGCCTCCCGCCTCGGCCTCCCAGAGTGCTAGGGTTACAGGCGTGAGCCACCATGACCGGCCTGAGCCACCACGCCCGCCCGGCTGATAATGCTGTTTTAAAAGATGCTTGCCTGATTCCCACAGGGTAACTTCTCAGGGCAGAATCAAAAGTGAGCTGTACGGCTGCATTGGCCAGATAGCTCAAAAGTTTGGGTTCTGCTGCCATTGAAGGCCTCTATAGTCCTATCAAAGTTAGTAGTCTTTCGTATGAAGCAGTGAAAATTTTCAAGTAATTTTTGGGATAAGCTGAAGTGATAGTTAGGATTCTCTGACCTCAACATTTCTTTAAGAATCTGAGGCAAGCTCTTGCCCTCTTTTCCTCCCCAAAAGCACAAATAGATATATACCTACTTTGAGGGAGTGTTTGTGGACTTTCTGAAGCCCACTAATACAGCCCAGGGAACAGGGGACTGGTAACAGAAATTCCTTTTGCTGTCTAGACCTTGTCACCATTGAGTGCCTCCTGGGATGACCCCGTGGCTTGGGGAGGGCAGGCGTCTTTCTCCGCAGGTGGACGCTCTGTATTCGACACTCTCAAAATGGAGCTGTGTGGCTCCCAGGGCCTTTCCTAGGAAGAGCTCAGACCAAGTTGACTGAGCCTTGGGAGCCATCAGACATGGAGCCCTTGAGTCAGCATTTAGGTTGATTTGCTGCTTCTGTTTGATCCTAAATAAATTGATTTATAATGAACAGAGAGAAGTTTTTTTCACAACCCATTTTCATTTCTTGCTTACAGAGAAAATGACAGAGTGGTCATGGTGAATGGCACCCCCATGGAGGACGTGCTCCATTCATTTGCAGTTCAGCAGCTGAGAAAAAGTGGGAAGGTCGCGGCCATCGTAAGTTCTGTGTTTGCTTTCACCTTGCCTCGGTAGCGTTTTGTTTTTATGCCCAGAAGAAAATTGCCATTTGCTTTTGAGAATTTGACAAAAATCACATAACGTAGGGACCGCTACTTCTTGGATCCTCATTGCTTTTGGAGGATGTGAAGACGTATGTATGTATGTTATCCTCCCTGCCTTGCCTCAAGTCCTCCTACGGACAATGATGCTCTAATCTGAGTGAATTTGCCTTATGAACCAGGTGAGACGATTATTCCCTAAGAGAATTGGCTAGATTCAGAACACTGGTAAAACAGTATTAATTTGGAAAGAAGAATTTCAGCTTAAAAACTCATTTGTAAAGGCATAAACAAGATCTGTTTTATCTTCATAGACTAAGAGTGTCTTAGAGGACAGTGGCAGTCTGTTGCATTCATTCATTCATTCATTCATTCATTCATTCATTCATTCATTCATTCATTCATTCATTCAGCAAACACTAGCTGAGAATCAACTATGAGCCAGATGCCCCTAGGCCCCCTGGGCCAGTGTGTCCTGCAAGGAGTGTTCACTCCAGCTGGGCAGGTGGACACATAAAGCGAGAATTATAATAAAGTATGTTAAGGGCAATGCTAGGGGGTTTGTACCGGGTATATATGGTATTTAATTTTTTTTCAACTTTGTATTATGAAAATATTCAAGCGAAAAGAAAAGTTGAAAGATCAGGGTAATATAAAGATTTATGTATCTTCCAAAGTGTTAATATCCTGCCATCTTTACCTGGTCACTATGTATTTTATAAACACTTAATATGTAGTTTTGGCAAACCATTTGAAGGAAAGTCAGACATGACAGTTTGATCCTACTTGCTTTAGCCTGCATCTCCTAAGAATAAGGACGTTCATCTACATAACTGTAATATTATCCTGTCTAAGAAAATAATAGTTCTACGGTTTCATCTGATGTCCAGTTCATGTTGAAAGATGTCATTGATAGACTTTTTTTCTTCCCCATCCAGGATCCAAAATTCACTCAATGCATTTGATCATTGTCTTGTTAGTCCCTTATAATCTAGAAGATTCTCTTTCCCCCTGCCCCTCCCCCACACCACCCCCACTTTTTTAATGCCATTTTCTTGGTTTTTTTACAATTTTTAAATTGATGCATGATAGACATACATAGTTTTGGGATATGTGTGATAATTTAATTCATGTAATTTGTAAAGATGAAATCAGTGTACTAGGGATATTCATCACCTTAAATGTTTGTCTTTTTTTTAATGCTAGAAACATTCAAATTGTTCTCTTCTGGCCATTTTGGAATGCACAACAGATTGTTGTAAACTATAGTCACCCTATGGATCTATCTAACACTGGGTCTTATTTCTTCTGTCAAGCTATACATTTGTATCCATTAATCAACTTCTCTTCATCCACCCTCCCCTCTAGGCAGTTATATATAGAATGTCACACTTTGTAGATTTTCATTTGAATTTTATAATAGTGATTTAGGCCTCTGAGGCTTTTCAAACTTGAGTAGAAGCAGATTTTGGAGGTATTATTAGTAGTAGTTTAATTCAAGCTTCGCAGTCGGAGTCTTATTTTTTTCTAACCCTCCGAGGTGTTTATTGTCTCTGTTTTCCTGACGAGGAACCTGAACCTTCGTGAGTGGGCAGGGACACGCAGTTTTGCTGGAACCGGGGCTCTTGGCCACTGCGTTCCCTACATTCAGTTGTGATTGTCCCGTGTCCGCATTGCGTTTGTTTTGACTGCAGGTGGTCAAGAGGCCCCGGAAGGTGCAGGTGGCCCCGCTGCATGGCAGCCCTGCGCTCAATCACGACGACCGGGCTTTTGAGGTGATGGACGAGTTTGACGGCAGAAGCTTCCGCAGTGGGTACAGCGAGAGGAGCCACGGGGGGCGCAGCCACAGCTGGGAGGACAGCCCGGAGCGAGGGCGTCCCCACGAGCGGGCGCGGAGCCGGGACCGCAGCCGCGGCCGCAGCCTGGAGCGCGGCCTGGACCACGACTACGAGCGCGCACGAGACCGCAGCCGCGGCCGCAGCCTGGAGCGCGGCCTGGACCACGACTACGAGCGCGCCCGGGACCGCAGCCGGGGCCGCAGCCTGGAGCGCGGCCTGGACCACGACTACGAGCGCGCCCGGGACCGCAGCCGCGGCCGCAGCCTGGAGCGCGGCCTGGACCACGACTTTGCGCCACGCCAGCACCGGGAGCGCAGCCGCGGCCGGAGCATCGACCGGGACTATGGCCAGGCCTACGACCCCGACTACGAGCGCGCCTACAGCCCGTCGGCGGACTACGGCCGCAGAGCCCAGCACGACGCCCGGTACCCGGTGGCCCGCAGCCGCGAGCACCTGCGCTCCCGCAGCCCCAGCCCCGAGCCCAGGGGGCGGCCAGGGCACGCGGGCCAGCAGGACCCGGACAGGCCCATCGGGGTCCTTCTGACGAAAAGCAAAGCGAATGAAGGTAGGCATGCTTGGTGCCGTAAGAAAAGCACCGTGACGACATAGCACTTAACATGTGCCGGCATTGACCGACGTGCCCGATACCTGTTACTTTATTTAATACTCATAACCATATCCTGAGGGAGTGGAGTTACTCTTATAGCGTCATTTTATAGACAATGAAACTAAGGCACAGAAAGTTCACTGACTTGCACAAACTTGTGCCATCAGTGGCAGAGCCAGGTTCCCTAGCTTTTTGGCTTTGAACTACCAAGCCAATGGTTCTCAAAGCAGCATTGGAGATGCAGATTCTCAGGCCCCAGCCCAGCCCCACTGGGTCAGAAGCCATGGGGTGGGACCCTGGAATCTGTGTGTTAATAAGCTGTCCTGGTGACCTTGAGACATCTCAAGTTGGAGAAACCGCAATAGAGGACAGTACTGTGGCTAGTCTCCTTTGAGTTTCTGCTCTATGCCAGAGGCTGTGCTGAATAAATATTCCATTATTTAGTCCTCACAAGAACCCTGTGTGGTAGGAGGCTTTGTTTCTGATTCACAGCTGAGGAATACCATGGTACAGAGGGGTTTGTGGTACATACCCACAGATGGGGCAGGCTCTGGCCTAGTCTGCCCATACCATGTTGCACACACACTTGATCATATCCAAGATTCACTAAACTCCTGCAGCTAGAGAAGCTAGTAACACCTGCAGTTTATAGGTGAGGCTTCTGAAACTCGACTGGGGAAGCAACTTGCCCATGTCTTGAAGCCAGTAAGTAAATGGTGAAGCTAGAACTCAAACACTATTTTCCCTGGAAATAGGTGATAGGAAACCAGGTGAATGAACAGGGCTTTTGAGCCTAGTGTTGAGACACTTTTAGGATCAGTTCTTGTCTTCTGACTTTTAAAATTCCTTGTTAACATATACCATCTTTCATCTCCTTTTGTTCTTTAATTGTTCCTCTTCTAAGAGAAAAAAAATAAAGAGCCCTTGAGAATGCAGAGTGAAAGACTCCTTGCTTTTGAGGTTTGGGATTTGCATTTTAATAGCCTGTCAGATGAGAGGGGTTTGCTTTCCTTAGTTTTTCATGAGAAGTTGAGTTATGTTAACTAGGTGCTTGTTGTAATAACTGAAGAATGTTGCAGGGATGTGAGTAATGAGATTCCTGGAATCCAGTCCAAGAGAGTAAAGGTGAGAGTTGAGGTTGCATTATCTCCAAGGAGTGTGCATCTTAGGTGGTGTAAGGATTTCACAGAATCTTTATAACTATTTATAATGAGATAGTCATTCATTCACCCCTAAGAATTGCAGAGTAAGAACCATCTTGCGTCCAGGTTGAAAGGTGGATTGCAGAGAAGTTTCAAGAAAGATAATTTGGCCTGAGATCCCCTTCAGAAGGGTCTAACACCCATTTGATTGGACACCCACCCTGGATTCTTGAGTTACCTAAGGCTCTGCTTTTCAGATGTCTCTCTTCCTTCCCTTCCCCCTCCTATCACAGAAAGAACCACATCTGTAGACAGTCATGGATATACCTGCATATCAAAAATTTGAACAGAAATTTCATGGAACAGTGCTTATTCTGCTGTGTGATGCAGTCTGAGAAGTTCCATTATATTACATTTTATTACATTTGAAACTGGCTAGTTGCTACTTACTAATTTGATTTTTATTTTATTTTATTTTTTATTTTATTTTATTTTGAGATGGTGTCTCAGCTCTGTTGCCCAGGCTGGAGTACAGCAGGGTAATCATAGCTTATTACAGCCTCCAACTTCTAAGTTCAAGCAAGCCTCCTTCCTCAGCCTCCTAAGACTATAGGCACGAGCCACTGTGCCCAGCTAATTTTTTCAATTTTGTATGGAGATGGGGGTCTCACTGTATTGCCAAGGCTGGTCTTGAACTCCTGGCCTCCAATAATTCTCCCACCTCAGCCTCCCAAAGTGCTGGGATTACAGACATGAACTGTAACACCTGGCCACTAAATTGATCTTAAGACCCACAATTTAATGGATTGCAACCCACAATTTAAGAAGACATTATCTGTCCTAAGAGACTAAGTCATGACTGGTCTTAGTAAATCAGGGAGAAAAAGGACTATACTTTTTTGCGATATAGCATTTTACTCTTTCTTGGCCATTTTCTTCCCCAGACTTGTAAATCATTAAAAAAAATTTTTTTTTCCACTTTTTATAAGAAAATTTTTTGCCACCTTTTGCTAAGATTATGCAATAACTTAGCTATCACTGGCTAGGGTTGCGTAAGAATTAATCTTTAAAGAAATCTGACAGTAGGCAAGACCTACATTTGGGCACCACATTGCCTTGCTTATAGATGTCTTTAAAGCTGGTCAGCCGATTTATTTTTCTTAATTTAAGGAATGCCTATATATGCACCAATAAGTCTATTTTCAGACTTTATAATAAGAGTGCAGTTTTTAAGAGGATAGAGGAATTGTTGATAATACCAGAAAGAAGTTATCGGTTAAGCTTGTCTGGGGCCATCTGACCAGCAGAGGGTCCTCGTCCATGAAGGTAGGGACAGTCTTTCCCTTAGGCCTTTCTTGACTGTCAGCTTCCTAAAGGGGTGGGGGATGGGCCTCAACACTTTGAGTCCTTGTGGTAAGATCTGGTGCTGACAGGTTTACTGTGTGTGAGTCATTTAAATCTTATCTTTAAATCTACTTCACACCTTTCCGGTGCTATAGAAAGTTACTTTGTTTCATAATTAAAAGGTTTTTCAGTCAGAATAATAATAAAAAAAATTTAAATGTGCCTCTTTTAAAACCTGCTAGGTTGTGTGGTAGCTTCCTAAAATAACCAAAATTGATTCTTAAAATATATAATTTTACAGGTTTAATAAGTAAAATCTGAATAGCCTGAACAGCATTGAAAGTCTTTAAAAATATACATACTTAGTAAATACAGTATTTTTTCTTTTGTTATCAATTCAAAGTCCTTAGACCCCAAAGCTATGCTGGTTTTTATTAAATGCTTTACTAATTGCTGTGCCTGACTTCTTTACCCTTTTCTTCACACTCTGAATTTCTTTCTGTGCCAAAGCCCACACAATCTGAGCTGCCATAGATTATACTATATAATATTTGCAGTGCCTGCCTGTGGGCAACCTCCCTGTCAGCAGAAGATTCCTATTAAGATGTGCTAAAAGTCTTTTCCTCCCCAACATGTTATTTGAAAAGTTAATTTTATAGCAAATACCCATATAGCCTTCCCCTAGTTTTACCAGTTAACATTATGTCACATTTGCTTTCTTTTTCTTCCTCCTCCCTTTTTCCCCTTCCCTTCCCTCCCACCCACCTTATCTCTCTCAGAGGGTTTTTTGGAACCACTTGAAAGTTAGTTGCAGGCAACTCAGCCATTACCTGTGAATGTTTCAGCAGGTACCTCCCAAGGATAAGAACATTTTCCTACATTGCCATAATGCCATTATCACCTTAACAAAATTAACATGAATATCACTTTAAAATAGTATAGGTCATTTTCGGATTGCCCCAAAGTACTGTAACCCTCTCTCCTTTCTCCATTCCCTCAGTGGATCAAGGATCTAATGAAGGTTTATGCATTGTGTTTGGTTTTTGTCTCTTAATCTAGAATAATCTTCCCACCTCTTTTATTTTTTATGGCATGGACTTTTTTTTGAAGAGTCCAGGCTAGTTATCTTACAGAATGTCCAATACACAAAATTAATTTTTTATGAATATTTTTAAATAGCCCTGAAAATTAGACTAAGTTTTCTGAACAACTTGATGACGTATGTGTATGTTTCTGTGTTTTTCTCCTAGAGTATGGTCTCCGGCTTGGGAGCCAAATCTTCATAAAGGAAATGACCAGAACAGGCCTGGCAACTAAAGACGGCAACCTTCACGAAGGGGACATAATTCTCAAGGTGGGCAGATGAGGGTAGAGAACAGCAGTGTGCATGCTGGCGTTCACAGCCGGCCTTTCCACGTTCAAGTCCTAATACGGTGACACTCAGTTGTGATGACATCAGTAGTAATGCAGAGGCCGGAAGAGAGCATAGTGACATCATTTTTATTAGGGAAACCAGACTTGGAGGTTTATAATACTTTAATGTCATTTAAAACAAACAAACAAAAACACAAACTCCATGACTACTTTCTTCTTCCCTGTTTATTTAGGGTTTAGGTTCCTATTCCCTAAACTAAGGAAAGGTGAGAAGGAGAATTGGTGGTATATGAATGCTGAATATTTAATAGTTCTTGTAAACCTCTCCGGGCAGGAAACACGTTCCAGTAGTAAACCAAACCATCGTCTTGAGCTTGGACGTTAAATAAATTAGCAGAGTAACTTATACCTGTATTTGGGATCCAGGCAAGCAGGATTATATTTAATTTAAAGGATAATTCATTTTTATTTCATCATCCTAAAGCACATGTCTTGAATATCTGAGCAAAACCTTTATATTTTTAGACAGAGAAAATATGAATTTTCTGCTTTGCTGTGAGTAGTCGTATTACATATAACATTACCATTCTTCATAAATGCAGATCAATGGAACTGTAACAGAGAACATGTCTTTAATGGATGCTCGGAAATTGATAGAAAAGTCAAGAGGAAAACTGCAGCTAGTGGTGTTGAGAGACAGCAAGCAGACCCTCATCAATATCCCGTCATTAAACGACAGTGACTCGGAAATAGAAGGTAAAAGAAGAGGCTGTGAGCTTGGCTGGGGGTAAAGAAAGCTGTTACTTGTGTATTCTTATCTCTATTTAGCATAGCCATCCAGTGGGAAGTTAAATTTCCAATGAAAGCCTCCCTTTTAAACTTTAATCCCAAAAGATCAGTGTTTGGTTGTTATTTGCTTATTAAAGGGTCTGTTGAAATTAGGTTTCCAGTATGAAATTCTGGTGCATTTATGAACTCCCAGAGGACACTTAATTAGGCCTCTAAAAGCAAAACCTGTTAGCAAAATGTGAACTAACCATATCATTTATACATTTGCTAATTGCTCATTCTTGTACTCAGTTGTGTGGTTTCTGAAAAGTGGCTTATTAGTATTTCCAACAAAGAGAAGACAGTTTGTACAACAGCTAAAAAAGATAGACATTATAATAGAATCGAAATGGCTAATGTTGTGGTATTCATTATTAATAATTAGTGATCTGCCACACCTAAGTGGACATATTTATATGTCCACTTAGGAATAACATTTATGGGGTGTCGGGCAGGTGAGGGGGGAGAAGGGGATGGGTATATAGTATATAAAACAGGGAGCCAGTTCACGTTCCCTCAGACCATTGGAGGGCTGGACTGTAGTTTAAAAAAAAACTATGAACAAATTCTTACGCACACTGCACATATCTTATTTTGAAGTAAAATAACAAACAGGCAGGCCAGGCGTGGTGGCTCATGCCTGTAATCCTAGCTCTCTGGGAGGCCGAGGCGGGCGGATCATTTTTTTGAGTCCAGGAGTTTGAAACTAACCTGAGCAAGAGTGAGACCCGTCTCTACTATAAATAGGAAGAAATTAATTGGCCAACTAACATGTATAGAAAAAATTAGCCGGGCATGGTGGCGCATGCCTGTAGTCCCAGCTACTTGGGAGGCTGAGGCAGTAGGATTGTTTGAGCCCAGGAGTTTGAGGTTGCTGTGAGCCAGGCTGACGCCACGGCACTCACTGTAGCCTGGGCAACAAAGTGAGACTCTGTCTCAAAAAAAAAAAAACAAAAAAAAAAAACAAACGGGCAAAACAACCGCATGTGGCCCGAGGGCTGTAGTTTGAGGACTCCTGGTATATACAAACACAATGAGTGAGATGTGCAACATTTCACATGCTTGAAGCTCTGAGTCAAGGGTGGGGGAGGCATGGGCAATATACATAACCTTAACATTTGTACCCCCATAATATGCTGAAATAAAAAAAAGTAATAATAATTAGCAATCTGTGCCACCCCTCTTTGAAGACCAGTATTCATTACTTTAGTATGAATTACAGGTAAGATAACATTTTAATATTGTAAAAATTGCCAATAAAAATAAGTAGTCATAATATATCCTACTATTCTGTTGCTTTTGTGCAAAAGAGTTTAGAAAACATTAAGTTCTCAAGTTGTAAAATAGGCTTTTGTTGATTTTTTTTTTTTAAAGAATTTATATATAAAACCTTAAAACTCACTTTAGTTTTCAGTGTATCAGAAGTCAGTCACTGCTATGGGTGCAGTGCAGGAAAATAAAAGAAGCATGGAAATAGACTCAGCATGCTAGGGGTTTATAGTTTATTTCCTTGCTACTCAAAGTGTGGTCCTCAGCGCCTAGCAGCATGAGGGTCTTCTGGGAGCTTGATAGAGGTGCAGAACCTCAGGCCCTACCCCACAAGGACTGCATCTTAACAAGATCCCTGGGAGATTTGTATGTACCTTAATGTTTGAGAAGCACTAATCTGTTCGGTAAGAGTGAACGTATATGTCTACAATCCAGTAATTGAATTTCAGCTCTTCAGTAGCAGCTTTGATGGAAAGTTGGATAAAAGAGAAATACGCAATTCTGAATTTGGCTTCCTCTTTATTAATTAATGCCTTTCCCTTAAAACAATCAGGTTTTTCCCCCCAGGGGAAGACTGTTAGACTGATAGCACATTTACTGTCTGCCTCTCTTCCATTCCACACGTTTCCTACCCAGAAAACACTATAATTTCTGATACATGTCTTAAATATTTGATTAGAAAGTCTTTTCTTATGTTTGAAACCAGATATCTCGGAAATAGAGTCAAACCGATCATTTTCTCCGGAGGAGAGGCGCCAGCAGCATTCCGATTATGACTATCATTCCTCCAATGAGAAGCTGAAGGAAAGGCCCAGGTAAGAGGATGTCTGTTTTTCCTTGCACATGTCACTGTGAGCGTACACACCTATGTATTCGTGAATCTGTTGACTCATGAGACAATTCACACGACCTGTGCTTAAGTTCAAGAGAGGACACGCCGAGCAGACTGTCCAGGATGGGCGCCACGCCCACTCCATTCAAGTCCACGGGGGATATTGCAGCTGCGGTTGTCACAGAGACTAACAAGGAGCCCAGATACCAAGAGGAACCCCCAGGTGAGGCTTTAAGACCACTTAGTTGCAACCGTTGTGTTCAGAAGTGTGTGCTTATTAATTCCACAGGGTGGCGGGAAGGAGAGAGAGAAATATAAAGTCCTTCTCATATATGAAGGGGCCCTTTTCTCTCTGAACATTGGAAAGATTAAAAAAGCCATTTCTAGGCCGGGCGCAGTGGCTCACGCTTGTAATCCTAGCACTCTGGGAAGCCGAGGCGGGCGGATTGCTTGAGGTCAGGAGTTTGAAACCAGCCTGAGCAAGAGCGAGACCCTGTCTCTACTATAAATAAAAAGAAATTAATTGACCAACTAACATATATAGAAAAAATGAGCCGGGCATGGTGGTGTATGCCTGTAGTTCCAGCTACTCGGGAGGCTGAGGCAGGAGGATCGCTTGAGCCCAGGAGTTTGAGGTTGCTGTGAGCTAGGCTGATGCCACAGCACTCACTCTAGCCTGGGCAACAAAGCGAGACTCTCTCAAAAAATAAAATAAATAAATAAAAATAAGAGCCTTTTCTATATGCCATCAAAAGTGGTCACATTTTGTCATATTTGATAAGCTGAAGTCTTTTTTTCTCTCATCCTCAATTCCAATCTCATCCATCCCTGCCCCTGCTACTCTACAGTTATCATAATTTTATATGCATAAATATTTACAGGGAAATGATACCATTATTATGATTTTTAAGTTATAAAAAGTGCTATTATTCTCTTGTGCCTGTGATTGTGTATCCTGTGTTTTAGAGGTTCATTTCTCGCACATCATTGGCATCTGCCAGTGCCTCAGAGTTAAACTTCACTTGAGGGACTTTTTGTTTGTGATGATATATATGTATATGTAGCATATGATATAGAGTTACATTTTTTGTGGATTTTATTGATCTTTATATTTAGAAACAAACTCCTGCTACTCCAGTTTGATAATAGGAGATGTGTTTTAATCCACAGCTCCTCCACCAAAAGCAGCCCCGAGAACTTTTCTTCGTCCTAGTCCTGAAGATGAAGCAATATATGGGTATGTATTTCTTTCTCTCTTTTCCCCCCTTTCTTCTCATGCCCCGCTTTGTCTCCTTAACCGAAATCCAGAAGAATGGTGTTTTTTAACCTACAGATGGTGACTTTGCACGTTATCAGCCACCTTTAACCAACCCCTGTTGCTAGTGTTTATGAGAAAGAGGAAACATTTGTAGGGAAAGCAAAATGTGGAAGTGGGCAAACTCTGTGATGTTAATGTCGTCTGCTTGTCTATCTGGCTACTTTTCCAGAAAGTTATTCTGAATATTTGTATTTGCCAGATAAACAACTCCCAAGTAGGTAAAGTGTTGCTAGACTGTGGTGCCCAGGAGTGACTGCAGGGATGTGATGGTCCCAGCCTGTGGGGGAGGGAGAGGCACAACGCTCTGCAACTGACGAAGCATGAAAAATAACCCTGGTCGAGTGGTGTTCAAGAGCAGCACCCTCCTGGGTTAGGATCCTGCTTCCTTGGACCCAGGCTGTGTCTTTATTTGACAAGAGCTGTGTGGAGCCAGCAGGCTTTCCTTAAAAAGCGTCTCCCATCTTTTCTTCCTGAAACTGAATCTGTTGCACAGCCCTAATACCAAAATGGTGAAGTTCAAGAAGGGGGACAGTGTGGGACTCCGTTTGGCCGGCGGCAATGACGTCGGGATATTTGTCGCTGGCATTCAAGAGGGGACCTCGGCGGAGCAGGAAGGCCTTCAAGAAGGAGACCAGATTCTGAAGGTAAGAAAAGCCTAGCTCTGGTTTTGGAATTAATTGGAAAGAGTGGGCTTTTCCAGTGTTCTTTCGTAAGGGAGGAGGAAGCGGTCCAGTGTGTAGAAATAGACCAGCTGCAGGTGTGCTGATGGCCAGCGTTGAGGTCCCTGTGTTCCTGGTGTGGGCGCTCCTGTCTTCTCAGTCCTGGGACCCAAAACTCATCCCTGTGTCTGTGGAAATTTATAGTGTTTAAAACTCTTGTCGAGATTTTTATGGGTTTGGTTAACAACAACAAAAAAGAAAAAAATTGACTCTAACTAAGGGCCTACAAGTAAGATCTTTCTAATTTTCGGTTTTTCATTGCGTTCCCTCTGCCTGGTGTCCCTCTTAGGGCAGTGCCCTATAACTGAACAAAGGTGGGTGTTGGCATCGGCCTGTGTGATTTGAATCCTGTCCCAGCCTCTCATTAGTTCTCTGACCCTGGCTCACCCTGAGACTCGGGTTTCTGTCCCTGATCAACAGGGATAAGAATACGCACCTCGCAGGGACCCTGGGAAGATTAGAGGAGATAGCACAAGGCACCTACCGGAGTCCCTGGCACAGAGCAAGAAGGGCGATGTCCATTCTTTTTTCTTATTGGGAGATAACAAATAGCTGCCGCTCAGTGTTATTTTTTTTTAACCTTTTCAACCTCTTACAGATATATGTGTGTGCTTATTTTATTTTTTTTTATTTTAGCATATTATGGGGGTACAAGTGTTAAGGTTACGTATATTGCCCATGCCCCTCAATGTCATTTACATCTAAAATTGTCCAGAAAAGGGAATTCCTGATTAATCAAATATTGGTACTTTTAAAGTTACTATATGTTTGTAAAATCTATTGGTATTAAAGCATTAAAAAGTGATAACTTTGATATTTTATGATATATATATATATATGCATTCTTCGTTAACTTTAGAATAAATTTCAAGAGTATCAAGTATCTTACTACTACAAAAATATACAATCCCAGGGAATTGTCGTTATTGGAATTTCTGCTTCTATAAACTTGAAGTTTTTATATATGAGTTTTTTCCTTGTTCACTTTAGTGAAACGTCCATATGTGATAAACTAAAGGGTCTGGTAAGAGTTTCTAGGCTCCGAGGAGATGAGAGGAAAAAGTTGCAGAATTTGCAAGGAAGCAGAGAGCAAAGTACAGAAAGAGGCGATCTCCTTCCTTCTTGGCGCTTGGCCTCATTGCGGTAGTTCAGATTTCATTTCTGGAGCAAATGAAGGACAAACCTTCATCATGAACCTTGTGAAAGCTTTCCAGTGAAATCCTATACCCTCCTTGGCTCTGGTCAGGATCCTAGAAGACTGAGTGTACCTGAGTGAACATCCTGGTACCGCATGGTCCTGGGAAACACCTCTCACCATATGCTAGGGATCAAAATCCCATCCCAGTGCCTGCTAATACCGATTTACTCTTGGGAAAATACGCTAACGAAGAAGAAAGGACATTTTTCATAACTAGTGTGAGGCCATAGGATGCCAGCTTGAAACTTGGAGCTTTTGCTCATAACGGTTCAGGAATGAGATATTTTTGTGTCACAGGGGGATAAAAGATTTTCTAAATTTTCATGAAGAAAAGTAGTGACTTCGCCTAAGGGCTCAGCTGTCAGACCTCTCTGTTAAGTAGTCATCGAAGATAGGGAGAATGGCTCCAATGGGTAAAAAGTCATGGGACTCAGCACTTATACTTATGAAAGTGTTGTGTTTCCCGTTATCACCCTGGCAACAAGGCAGAAAGTGTGGGAACTAGCTGCTTTTGCAGTAATCCTGTATGGAGGTCAGGCAATAGGTGGTCCTTGTTCTTGGGTGCGAATAAATTTTCTGTTGACTACAAAGGGAGTCTTCAGTTCTCCAAAGGTTTGAAAAGGACTGAGTTTGCCTACCAGGACAGAGAAGCTTCTACACAATTGCAAGCTGAGGCTGATACAGAATCCTCTCCAGGCTCGCAGCAGACACGGCTAGACCCTGGAGACTACTAAATAGCTAATGAAAGAGGATATTTATTGGAAAAGACTGTATAATCTAACCTTGAGTATAAAAGTACTGCCCTGGCTTTTTTTTTTTTTTTTTTCACTTTAATTTGTTTCAGTGTTCCTTTTCATAGCCAAATTGAATATATGAAGTGGGCCATGTACAGATGCTAATCACATGTTTCTGTTGGGAGATTTTTAAGCACGACTCTGTGTTTTGTAAAGGTGACACCCTCACGTATGGAACTAAAAGCACGTATGTGCTGTGCTGTGGTGGAGTGTGTGCCTTGTCAGTGAGAGAGATCCATGTGCTTTTGTTTATTCCTGCTTGGTTTGACTGTCTTTTTGTTTATTATATATTTGGCAGGGTTGTCATTTCTTTCAGTAACTTTTAGGGGATGGGAAAAAAGGAGGGGAAAACCTAAGGTTTGATCATTAACCATGTGGTTTTTCAAGTGTAGCTACCGCATGTGTTTAATTTTGACTGTTACAGTAGTTGGCTTGAACAAAGGGCAGTCTCACATGGTCACAGAGACGGACAAAGGGACGTCCAAGGTCCTCCCCCACCCCTGTGGCCCTGTGTTATTTAAATAAACATATAAATATAAGCATGTACAGTACATGCAAAAACATCCATGTGGCCATATATAGATACAGTTGTAGATAAACAAATGGCATGAGAAAGGATTAGACATCAAAGTGCAGTCCCTAATCTCTGTCTCCGAGGGACTGAGAGGTAGGAATGACAGTACCCTTAAATGTAGATATCGTTTCAAAGGAAAAGTTAACTTGATTGCTTTAGCAAATCGCTTTATTTTAGAAGCACCAAATAAGGTTCAGTCTAATGCCTACTTTTACTTAATCAAAAATTTTGGATTTTGGCTTTAATTAAGGCTTGACTAGTAATAGCTTTTTTTTTTTTTTTTTACATAATAAAGCATTACTCTTATGATTAAAAGGATTCTATAGTTCTCAATGACCGAAGAAAATATTTTATAGGAATTCTATGTCTTCTTTTCTTTTCTATAATATATTATTAAAATGTCGGGTACTTTAAAATAACTTTTGCATTTTGCTTATTTGTAATTCAATTTTAAAATAGTTTTAAAGGTATAGAATTATGATTTCAAAATGTCTTTGTCTTTGTGATGCATTTCAGTTTTATTTGCTTTTTATCTCATATTCCAAAAGCTATTTACAGTGTCCTATATTCAATCATAGGGGAATAGATGTTGTGGGCTCCTTGCCAGAAATATGTGTGGATCAGAAGTTTAAATATATTTAATATAAGGCTCTGTATTAAACTAGAAGTCTACCACATAAGGCTAATACTCCTTAATTTTATAAACAACTTTCAAGTTTATAAATAAATACATGTTAAACACCTTTTAGGTGATAGAAGGTATAGGAGAAAGATAGACTTGATCAGAATCCTTATTTTCCTTGGGAAACTCAAGGAAGAGAGGGAGACAGAAACAACCACAAGAAGTTCTAATCTGATCTGGTGATGAGTCCTTGCTTCAATGGCTTGTCCCTAAGAGGTGGTTGGCAGTGTGGGGAGGCAGGAAGGTGGAGTGACGCCCACACAGCCGAAGCCCATAGCAAAGTGCTGAGTGGAAGGGCTTGAACAGAGATACTATAAGGACTTCTTTACATCATCGTTTTGCTCTGGGCAGGCCCGGATGAAAACAAACAAAACTCTCAGGTGGCCCCTTACTATAAACTTCTTTTGGATTTTTCTTTTTCTGTTTTTCCCTCCTATCAGGTGAACACACAGGATTTCAGAGGGCTGGTTCGGGAGGACGCCGTTCTCTACCTGTTAGAAATCCCCAAAGGTGAAATGGTGACCATTTTAGCTCAGAGCCGAGCTGATGGTGAGCAACTTTGGTCATTTAGTTTAGGTGGGAGGAAGTGGGTAGGGGAAGGGTGACCGAGGTGTCTTGGGACCACAATAGACAAATCTGGGTTTTAAAAAAAAAGAAATGGATCTTGACACCTAATCCCTGGGTCACAGGTGTTTGGAAAAAATTTAGGTGCCATTTAACTTTCCATAAAAATGTTTTCTGTGCACCTCCTGGAATAATTTCGCTAGTTGTGTCAATTTGGAATAAAATTGCTTTTCTGAACCATGATGCCTCCTTAATTTCCGCCTGTAGGCATTGTTGAGCTTCCCTGTCATAGATGCAAAAGGCCAGGACTGCTGCTGGTGCCCACATTAACCCTTACCTGTCCGACAGGTTGCTTCACCTCCCGGGCCTTGTTCTGTCTGCTGCAGAGATCGATTGGCAACTGTATCAGTCAGGGTTCTCCAGAGAAACAGAGCCTATAGGAGATACTAGAATCAATAGAAGGCAAAGGGATTTATTATAAGGAATCAACTCCCATAACTAGGGAGGCTGGCAAGTGCCAAGATCTGCAGGCTGGATCGGTGGGGTGGAGACCCAGGAGAGCCGATGATTTAGTTCGAGTCCGAAGGCCTGAGAACCAGGGAAGCCAATGGTGTAGCTGTAGTATAAGAGCAGGGAAAAGCTGATGTCTCTGTCCATAGGCCACCAGGCAGGAAGAGTGGTGGTTCTCTCTTACTTGAGAGAGTTGCTGCTTTTTGTTCGCGTCACCCCTTCAACTGATCGACTGCGGCCCACCCGCACTGGGGAGGGCAGTCTGCTTTGCTCAGTCCCCCTGTTTAAATGTTAATCTCATCCCAGAACACCCTCACAGAAACACCAAGAATAATATTTGACCCAATATCTGGGCGTTTCCTGGCCCAGTCAAGTTGATGCATAAAATTAACCGTTGCAGCAGCTCACGGTTGGGTGTTGGAGCTGTGACTCCACTGGGGCCTGCGCGCTGCCTGGACAGGAGCTGGAGGGGTTGGGCAGACATAGGAGGAGCTGATCGCTGTGTCTTTAGCTGAGCCGAGTGCAGCAAGCAGTGCCTTTGTCTTTCAGTGTATAGAGACATACTGGCTTGTGGCAGAGGGGATTCGTTTTTCATAAGAAGCCACTTTGAATGTGAGAAGGAGACTCCGCAAAGCCTGGCCTTCACCAGGGGCGAGGTCTTCCGGGTGGTGGACACGCTGTACGACGGCAAGCTGGGCCACTGGCTGGCTGTGAGGATCGGAAACGAGTTGGAGAAAGGCTTAATCCCCAACAAAAGCAGGTATCTGAGATGGCACTTCCCGTGCACCCCTTAATCCCTCCCCCTGCGGAAAACAACAGAACCTCCCCCAAAGGAAGCCCTGCGTGACTACTTTATTGTCTGTCACGATCTACTTCTTGTTCGTGGGGAGTGGCCTGAACTGCAAATAGCCACCGGCCAGTTTGCTGTGCGGGGCGTCACGCGCTGGCTGTGTTTTAGTGATTTCCCAAGAGCGTCGCCGCCTCGCGTAGCCTGCGCGGGAGATGCAGGGTGGCTGTCGCACACTAGCACAGCTTTCAGAGTCACCCCTGTCTCCTGCCCGTTCCTCGGGGAGGCTCATGTACCCCAGTGAACGCTTGCTGGTTGCTGATAGCGTGGGAACCTAGAACAGATACCTGTTGTGTTTTAGCAGGCGTGTTTGCTGTATACCTGCGTGTCAGGATGAGCCACCCATGGGAGGTCGAGGTGGGCGGCTTGCTGGAGGTCAGGAGTTCGAAACCAGCCTGAGCAAGAGCGAGACCCCGTCTCTGCTATAAATAGAAAGAAATTAATCGGCCAACTAATATATATAGAAAAAATTAGCCAGGCATGGTGGCACATGCCTGTAGTCCCAGCTACTCGGGAGGCTGAGGCAGGAGGATCGTTTGAGCCCAGGAGTTTGAGGTTGCTGTGAGCTAGGCTGACGCCACGGCACTCACTCTAGCCTGGGCAACAAAGCGAGACTCTGTCTCAAAAAAAAAAAAAAAAGAATGAGCCACCTTTAGCATGTTCATTAATTACTGAGCTACCGCTGGCCTTTTTCTGCTTCCGTCTGAAACTTCTTCATTGTCATTGCCAAATGCTTCTCTAACCTGAGTTCACAGTCCAATTGACTCGATTTGGTGAACGAGGTACACATCTGCTGTGATTTCTGGCTTTAGAGACTTACTTTCTGTGGTCTCTTCTCTCAGAGCGGAACAAATGGCGAGTGTTCAGAACGCCCAGAGAGACAATGCTGGGGACAGGGCAGATTTCTGGAGAATGCGTGGCCAGAGGTCCGGGGTGAAGAAGAACCTGAGGAAGAGTCGGGAAGACCTCACGGCCGCCGTGTCCGTTAGCACCAAGTTCCCCGCTTACGAGAGGGTCTTGCTGCGAGAAGGTGAGGAAGCGGCGTGCGGCCGGGAAAGGATCTGACTGGGCTCTGAGGCAGTTTACTGTTATTTTCAGACCATAATTGTCAAGTTCTAACTTAGTTACAGCACTTGTGCCAAAGCCAGGTTATAGAATTGAAATCGTATTCTAATAAGGAACCCAACTTACAGAAAGGGAGCTGTTCAAACTCATAAATGGAGGCATATTTCCACAATCTAAAAAACATTTTTAGTGCCACCATTCAAAAATTTCTTCATATTACTAATAGCAAAGTTTGTCTTTAAAAATGGTAAGGATAGGCCAGGTGCCCTGGCTCACACCTGTAATCTGAGCACTTTGGGAGGCTGAGGCGGGAGGATCACTTGAGGCCAAGAGTTTTTTTTTTTTGGAGACAGAGTCTCACTGTGTTGCCCGGGCTAGAGTGCTGTGGCGTCAGCCTAGCTCACAGCAACCTCAAACTCCTGGGCTCAAGTGATCCTTCTATCTCAGCCTCCTGGGTAGTTGGGAGTGCAGGCATGCGCCACTATGCCTGGCTAATTTTTTCTATATATATATTTTTTAGTTGGCCAATTAATTTCTTTCTATTTTTAGTAGAGACAGGGTCTTGCTCAGGCTGGTTTTGAACGCCTGACCTTCAGCAATCCTCCCACCTCAGCCTCCCAGAGTGTTAGGATTACAGGTGTGAGCCATCACACCCAGCCGAAGCCAAGAGTTTAAGACCAGCCTGAGCAACACAGAGAGACCCCAACCCTACAAAAAATAGAAAAATTAGCCGGATGTGGTGGAAACACGTCTGTAGTCCCAGCTACTCAGGAGGCTGAAGCAGGAGGATCATTTGAGCCCTGGAGTTTGAGGTTACAGTGAGCCATGATGATGCCACTGCACCCGAGCCTGGGCTACAGAGCAAAACTCTGTCTCAAAAAAAAAAAAAAAGTAAAAATAGTGAAGCGAAAGAGCTGGGCTGGATTTGGGGTAGGAGAATACACAGTTTCTTTCATTTAGTTATGTTATTATCAAAAGCCTGAACAGTACATTTGCTGCTTATCTTAACAGCGAGGCAAGTGTATGTGTTTTGATGGTCTTTCTTGTCTCATTTCAGCTGGTTTCAAGAGACCTGTGGTCTTATTCGGCCCCATAGCAGATATAGCAATGGAAAAGTTGGCGAATGAGTTACCTGACTTATATCAAACTGCTAGTAAGTCTGTCAGTGTTTTTTTCTTTCTTTCTTCTCCCCAAATTTTTATTTTGAAAATTTCTAACATACAAAGAAGTTGAAAGAATAATGAACATCCACATACCCCTTCACTTGGTGTCACCGGTTGTTAACATTTTGCCCCGTGCACTTTCTCTCCTCCACTCCTGCCTGTAGAGAGACATGCACACACAGGCACACACTCTTGGAAAAATTTCTGCTGAATCCTTTGAAAGTTTAAGTAGCCGATATAACACCTTTCCCCTTATACTTACGTGACTCTCCTAAGAACAAGGACATTTTCCTACACAACCATAGTATCATGATCACAGCCAAGAAATTGTGATACAATTTCATTGCTGATACAGTGTTATTTAGTACCTTTTAAATTTCCTCAATTGTCCCAATTATGTCCTTCATAGCTTTAAAAAAAATTCAGGATACAACCAAGGACCACGCATGACATTTGATTTTTATGATTTTTTATGTTTTTGTAGTCTCTTCCTTTTCTCTAAATTTTTTTATGATGTTGATATTTTGAAGAATCCAAGCCAGTTGTCTCATAGAATGATCCTTGTTGGACTGGCTTCATGGTTAGAGTTCAGTTAAGCATCTCATTAGAAGACACCTAATGTCAGGTGTCCTATCATTGCTGATGCTAGGTTGGAGCATTTGGTTGTCACTCTTTTCTAAACAATTATTTAGCCCCTGTTTTTGCTTTTGCAGAAACAGAACCAAAAGACGCAGGATCCGAGAAATCCAGTGGAGTGGTTCGGTTAAATACTGTGAGGCAAATTATTGAACAGGTGAGAAAGTTCATCTGAGGTCCATGTGGTCAGAAAGATTTAGATAATGGTTTGCTGTATTCACTTTTAGAGAGTAAAATCTGTATTTTAATAATCATTAAAATGTTAATGATAAAATTAATGTAAATGCAAGCTATTTCACTGTGTGAGCACCAGTCACTGTTCTGCGGTAGTACATCTTGGTTTTGGGGAGATTGGTTTGTTTTTTGAGACAGAATCTCACTCTGTCTCCCCGGGTAGAGTGCCGTGGCGTCAGCCTAGCTCACAGTAACCTCAAACTCCTGGGCTCAACCAATCCTCCTGCCTCAGCCTCCCGTAGCGGGGACTACAGACATGAGCCACTGTGCCCAGCCCAGTTTTGTTTTTTTCCGAGTTTTCAGCATGATACCAAATAGTCAGTTAATTCATTTTATCAGCAGTTCTATCAGATTGATAATATTGAAGTAGACATAATGTGGAAGGAAATATTTCTGCTGTTTGATTTAAATTTATAAGATTTATCTGATGTCGCCTTTACTTACTAAAACCAAGTCTTTGATGCCGTATTACTTTATATCCCCGCTTATGGGCCTTTCCCCATTTGTGACAGGACAAGCATGCACTACTGGATGTAACTCCGAAAGCTGTGGACCTCTTGAATTATACCCAGTGGTTCCCGATTGTGATTTTTTTCAACCCAGACTCTAGACAAGGTGTCAAAACCATGAGGCAGAGGTTGAATCCAGCATCAAACAAAAGTTCTCGAAAGTTGTTTGATCAAGCCAACAAACTTAAAAAAACGTGCACACATCTTTTCACGGGTAAGTGAAACTGAAAATGTAGTCTCTTTGCTCAGAAATGAAAATAGGGAATGGCAGCATGGAAGAAGTAAGAAAATAATCTGAATAGAGAATTTGAAACTCTGTTCACAACTCCTTGAAACATAGTTAATCCTATAAATTGGGTATGTTAGACCCATTTGTGCATTGATTGAACTTTGCAGTTTTGACTATTTGAAAATGAGCTAAAAGATCCATGACATGGTAATAATTTTGATGAGGTTCAGATTTTTATATGGCATTGCAAGGCTAGTGATTGAACCTGGCCCAGCACCCACATCTCTCTGTAGATTGTGTTATTGTTCTCTACTTATCACATGCATGCACTAACTTACAAAGTGATAGGAACTTGGTTTCCTTATTAATAAATGTCCCCCAAATAGAAACTTGAGCACTCTGGATATTGTACGATTTAATTATGACTGCTGTTTTTTAGGTGCAGTAATAATATTATGATTATGTTTTTTTAAAAAGAAGCTTCATCTTTAGCAATACATACTAAATCAATATTTGTAGATGCCTAATGTGACGCCTGGAATTTGCCTGAATAATCTGTGGTGCGGGGAGCAGATGGGGGTACTGATAAGACGGGACTGGCCGAGACTTAAGAGTTGTTGAAGCCAGTTGATGGGTACATGGGAGTTCACTAAAATGTTTCCTACTTTTGTATATGTTTAAAGTTTTCCATAGTGGAATATTTTTTTAAAGTTCCTGAAATGAAGACTCATTGCTGCTATTACTTACTCATGAAAGGAAAATGGTCTAAGAATGTGACACATTTTCGTAATTGAATGTGTGCACTCCCTGTGTAAATGACTAGTTCTGTGAATATGGTATAATAAGAGTTTAAAAGGGTTGCATCAGTTTTTTGGTCCTGCAGTGCGTTAGTTTGCAGGAGTAACGTGAGGTGACTGCATGGATATGATATCCTCAGGATAATGTTAGCTCAGCCAGGTTGTGGCTTGATGCTGTGTGTTGTAGCCAGAACTGTGGTCTTTACATTTGAGCAGTAGAACCTTCAGACAGAATTAATATTTTATGGGCTTTTTATGCTTTTAAATTTATGACATTTTTATAAATTAATAAATGAGAATAATAGCACTGGTTTGATGAGCCCAACAATTTGGAGTCCAGCTTTTTGTTGCACGTGGTCTTGCTAGGTGCAGTGTTGTTTCTTTTTCCCTTTTGCACAGAAAGAAAATCCTGTTTCCCATAGATGAGTATTTAATTATCATGATATTAGCCGGCGTGGTGGCACAGGACTATAATCCTAGCACTCTGGGAGGCCGAGGCAGGCAGATCGCTCACAGTCAGGAGTTCGAAACCAACCTGAGCAAGAGCGAGACCTCGTCTCCACTAAAAATAGAAATTAATTGGCCGACTAAAAAATATATATAAAAAAAATTAGCCGGGCATGGTGGCACATGCCTGTAGTCCCAGCTACTCGGGAGGCTGAGGCAGAAGAAGGATCACTGGCTTGAGCCCAGGAGTTTGAGGTTGCTGTGAGCTAGGCTGATGCCACGGCACTCTAGCCCGGGCAACAGAGTGAGACTCTGTCTCAAAAAAAAAAAAACACTGCAATGTTGACTGAGCCCCATGAATAGCTTTATTGAGATTTAATTTACATACCATATAATTCAGTAGTCTAAAGTATATAATTCAGTGGGTTTTAGTATATTCAGAGTTGTACAGCTGTTATCACAATCAATTTTAGAACATTTTTTACCATCCCCCAAAGAAACCCCGTAGCCCTTGGCAGTCATTTCCCGTTTTTTCCTCTCCCTAAACCCTCCAGTCTCACAAGTCACCTCTGGCTGTTGCTCTGGGTGCTCCCCAGCCTCCTTGGCTGGGGAGGGGAAGTAGCACTGACCGCACACATGCCAGGGCTAGGCATGGATGCCCTTGGAACCCCAGTACTCCCAGCCAAGGCAGCGGCTGAGCGAGCATCCTTTCGGGATTTCACATTCTTGCACTTGAGAGATATATTAAGCCTATCCAAGGGGAATAGGCCTAGCCCAGAGATTGGGAGCAATAAGTAGTTAGCTAATATTGGTCGAAGGCAAAGAACATGAAAAGCCTAATGAGTGAAAAGTACTTGGTTCAGAGTCAAGGGAGGGCAGCACCATGTTTGTGCACCTACCTGTTAAAAAGAGGTCAAGCGTGTGAGTTGGGTGTTACTTTTATATATAGCTTAGGAATTTAGCTACTATGAAGCTCTTATTTTTTGTTCATATACTTTGTGAACTCAGTAAGAGGTATTGTGACTTTCTTCATTTTTATCAGGGGCACAAACATTTTCTGCCTTTCATAAGTGGCCCTTTTAACTTGAGGTTTGTGATGAATACAGACTGTACTTGTCTCAAGACAACTCAAACATAAAGCTTTTTAAAAGGCTGCTTAAAGTTATGTATGCATTTAGTGCAAATCACTCATTTGGTCTCTGGGGGTACAAAATCTCACTTCTGTTTTTAAGGACTATGGCATCATCTTTTAGCTGTGAGCATAATAATCTCTGCAAAATACCATGATAAGAATACAGAAGTCCATGGAATCAAGGTTAATTTTCCTTGGGTTATCCAATGGATCAGTTTATTCTAATGCTTTAAATAATTAATAACCAAGGAAATTGTAAGCCCATTCAGGATTTTCCAAGGTCACTGCCTGAACTTCTTAAGTAGAAGAAAGCTATATGTAATCAGGAAGAAAACTTGAAGCTTAGTTACTCACAAAATTTGCTTAATGGCTCTTTTTGGCTTTAGAAGTGATGATACATAATGCCATACCCTCTAATAAAAGGCCCTGATGATGTAGTTTAAAAGAAATCCTGACTTACTGAAGTCTGGTGATTTTAGGTGCAATTTAATTTATTATTCTGGACTAATTTGCTTGTCTACTTTATCTTCTTTAGGTCCATAAATACATACTGCTGAAGAATGATTACATATGTTGTACTTTGTTAGTATTTTATATCTGCACTCTAAATTTGTGCTTTTAGATGGGCCATGTTGTGTGGTGGCTAAGGCCATAGGCTCCGAAAGTTTGTGTCCAGGCTTTTCTGCTTGGTTGGTGTGAGGCCATGGGCTAATGGGCTATGGCCATGGGCTACTTTCACTACTGTGCCTCGGTTTCTCATCTGTAAGATGGGCATTGTGGTAATACTTACCTCGCAAGGTTTGTGTGAGCATGGAATGAACTAATCCATGTAAGGCACTTGGAAAGTACCTGATCGACCCATACTGAGTGCTAATGTGTAAGATACATTTTGTTCTGAATAGAGAATGTACATTCCTTGAATACACACCAGTGGAGTTTGGGTAATCTGTATGCGTATGTTTGTTTTAGATGTATCTTTACTCTTATACTTTTTAAAAATATTTTTTTAGTGTTAGCCTTTCTGAAAATAAACATTCTGAAAATCTATTTTTTAGCTTTATAACATCCATCTGTAATATAAACTCAGACAGCTAGATGGTTAATAGTTTTAATTGTATGCAGTGAAGGGGATTTAGTGCTCAAATCTGTGCATACTTTCTCTTGCATTTGTCAAAATTGTAATTCAAATGTGACAGAAATGAGTATAAATTATGTTACATAGCGTCCTTAATGAGCATTGCTCTGGAAATTGATGCACACATTTTCGTTTACATTGCTATAGCTACAATCAACCTAAATTCAGCCAATGACAGCTGGTTTGGCAGCTTGAAGGACACCATTCAGCATCAGCAAGGAGAAGCCGTGTGGGTCTCGGAAGGAAAGGTATGTGGCATTGACACGCTGCTCTGAGGTGAGAGTTCGTGTTCTGAACCTTTTCTTAAGAGGGCAGTGAATGTAGTCAAACCGTGCCCATTTGAAGTGATTCTAACGGGTATGTTAATCAAGTTGGAAATGTAATAAATTCTCTGACCAAGGAAGAAACATGAAGGGGCTTTTCAAAGAAAAGCAGAGTGTGAGGCACGCAGTCCTACGTTCACTTCCCTTTTACTTTTAACGTAGTAACTAGTGTTGTGTTCCAAGTACACTAATCAGAGCTTACAAGACCTTACGCTGAGCTCCGCAGCTTGCTAAGGACAGGGGAAACTTAGAGTGCAGATGAGAGGGGAGGCTGGGGAACGTGGAGAATACAGTTAAAAATTGATAGAGAGAAGAAATGCTAATGGAGTTGGAATTATTTGCTTAGAAGAAAGGCTGGTAGAGAATGTTCTAGGGATTGAAATAGGTGAAATGTGAGCATTGGGGAACTTGTCTAGGCCTCTAAAATTGGATAGCTTCTCGCCTGTGGAGATAGTTTACACACGGCTGTGCTGCAGGGAGGAAGAAGAGAGATTATATAACTTGTGGTCCCTTTCATTCTAAGGAGCTTTTGGTGCTAGTATCCTGTGCTCCAGTTGAATTGAGGTAGTTTGTGAGACTTTATGGTGATGATTTTGTTGCAGAACTAAGTCTTGCTTTTTGAGAACTGGATGCTTAGTCAAGGTATCTGGCATCTGCTAAGTGCTTACCGTCTGGAAGGCTCCATGTTAGCTCCCTGGGAGAGGACAAGTTGAGCAGGACATAGCTTCTGCCTTCAGGGATGTGAGCACCTTACAAGGAGTGGAGATCGTGCAGCACAAGGCACTGTGCATTTATTACTAGGCGGGCGGGACCAGGACAGGCTGGAGAGGAGCTCAGTTCTGGAAGAAAAAAAGCCCAACCATCGGAGGCAGTGTGGGCCAGTGGCTGCGTGTAGGATGGGCAGTAGCAAGGAGGATAGGCTGGTGGGTGGCTAATTTGAGTTCCTGCACAAAAATTAACATATTGTCAACATCGGACCCAAACCAGATGATTTCAGGGGGAAAGAAATAAGGTGCCTCCGTGGCTAGCACATCCAGGTTTCGGTCGCTTGGCTGCGCCGTTGGGAATTTTCTTGAGTCCCGCGCCCAGGAGCCTTGTCAGACACCCCCACTGACCTCCCCGCAACAAATTCCTCTAGATGGAAGGGATGGACGATGACCCCGAAGACCGCATGTCCTACTTAACCGCCATGGGCGCGGACTATCTGAGCTGCGACAGCCGCCTCATCAGCGACTTTGAAGACACGGACGGCGAGGGAGGCGCCTACACCGACAACGAGCTGGACGAGCCTGCCGAGGAGCCGCAGGTGTCGCCCATCGCCCGCTCCTCGGAGCCGGTGCAGCACGAGGAGGTGAGGCGAGGCGAGGCAGGAGGCTCCTCGGGACGGCGGTTTGTCCAGGGTGCGGAGGAAGGCGTCCCTACCGGTCAGGAGCAGATGACTTCTAGGGAGTCTCTTACTCAGAGCCCACCACGCCTGCACCGTTGCGGCTGTGGCCCAGGGGAAGGAGGGCAGGAGAGTGAACTGCAGAAGAGGTTGAGGGGCCAGCACACCTCACACCTGTGCCTTCAGGCGTGATGGGCAAACAGGGTGGCTTTACGTGCCAGGGTCCAAGTTACTACGGAACATTCCTTTGCAATGCAGTATTGCTGTATTACTTGTAACCTTTGATTAGATCTCTCTCTGTACTCTTAGATGTCCTTGCTTTTCTTCCCCACCTTAACCTTTAACCTTCCTAATCTTGCCAGAGCTCCTGAGTGTTTCCCCATCAGTTTCCTTCTCTTTCAGTATTTCAGTTTTTAATTGAGTTCGTGATTAAATATTCATCTGATCACATGTACTGTGCATCCACTGACCCGTGATTATACAGCTTGCAGGATCCTAGAAATCATATCTGCAGGCGCTAAGTTAGGACCAGGGCAATTATTAGTTGTACTTTAGAGAACATTGGAACAGTGATCTTTGTAGATGGCATTATCCGTCTATTTGGATAACTGTGGCTGTGGATTTCTCTTTAGCAATTTAGCTCATTCCAGTAAATGATTTTTTTTTATGAAATAGAAGTACCAAAAAAATAAGTTGAAGGGGGAGAAAAACACACTACAACTGCAGCAAAAAATTAGTATATGCTCCTAGACAAGTTGTAAAGAATAAATTAACTCCCAAATGTCTACAGACACAGATGAGCTAGTGCTTAGAAATATGTTAACTGTTGTTAGTGACACACAAGACTTTAGACTTTAGGAGGGTTTTAAAAATTTTATTTTGAAGGAAGAGACTACTATATTGCATGCAGTCAGTTTTAAAAAATATGACTTAAACCTTTGCTGATAGAGTATGCTTGCTATCTATCTGTTTAGTAAAGAACCCCTGGGTCACAACCTTGACGTCCAAACTTAAATAAGTTCACAGAACTCCTGCAAAACAGACGAGTGCTCGCTTCTCTCTGCTCGGATGTTCTGGTTGTGAATGAACCTTTGTATCTTGTAGAGCATAAGGAAACCTAGCCCAGAGCCACGAGCTCACATGAAGAGGGCTGCTAGCAGCGATCAACTTAGGGACAGTAGCCCACCCCCAGCATTCAAGCCAGAGCCGCCGAAGGTACGTGGCTGGGGAGCCCAGGATGGGAAGGAAGAGGAAGCAGATGCCTCTGGAGTCCCCAAAACAGGCAGGGAGGAGCACACACAATGAGACAGTGTTGAATTTACAGTGTTCCCTATTAGAGCCTGTCTTTTAGCCTGTTGGGTGATCCCCAAAATCGGGGAAGGGCAAAAAGAGTAAGGAAAGACAAAATTAAGAGAGTGTATAATTTTAAGACTATTAGAGTTGAGTTTATTTACTTTTTTGGAAAAAGAGTGAAAGATTGACAAATTGCTGCATGCCCAGAATCACCCATCTCAGAATCTGTTTTTCTTTTTCTGTCCAATTAAAGTTTTATGCCCACAGTCTGATTTAGATGCACCAGAAAATCCTAGCTGGTGATTTGCTAAAGAAAAGAATCATCACCACTGCTTATAATGCCTTCATTGAGAGAGCAGATTGATTTACTTGTTTAATAAATCGTTATCCAGAACAGAAGCAATCAAAGAAACAGGCTTATATCATATGATTCTTCACCTCCAATCAGAATCAAAGCTCTGTATGGCTATAGGCTTTTCCTTATACGCCAATAAAATGTCTATTTAATTCAATAATTTAGGTGAGAACAAAGCAATGACTGATGATCTGAGCTGTCACAAATAAGTAAAATAGTGACCTCATAAAATGCATCAGTGAAAATTTGCAAGCAGAGTGAGACTCAAGGTGTGGAGGAGAAACGGCTGATAGCTTGATGCGCTGCCCTCCTCGATCCCCACTCGGTCCCGTTTTCTTCTGGCTGCACACGGGTGTCACCTGTTCACCTCTGGGCCGGGACATGCACCCTCAGTGCAGCATGGGCTCAGAAGCCCATTCTTCCAGTCCCTAAGCCTGACTTGTTCTGAGGTCTTCTCCAAGATTCCAGTCTCCTCTACTACAAAATTACCCAAGGTCTCATCTACTTGTAGCAGTAGCAGTCCTCCCAGCACTTTCCCTGCACCCCCTTGGTTTCCTAATACTCTTCTGTAGGTAGGCAGAGAGGTAGGGCTCCGACTGCCCCGCCCGCAGCCGTTTGCCTTGCTGTATTGGATTCCTTGTTGGAACGGTATTTTTTGACCACCCTTGGAAACTGATCAGGAAATGGAGTGCATTAAATCACTAATATAGATTTGAAAATCAACTAAAAGCCCAAGGTAAAAAACATGATACTGCTTTTCTGCAGGCCAAAACCCAGAACAGAGAAGAATCCTACGACTACAAGTCCAACCCCTCTGCCGTCGCTGGGAGTGAAATTCCTGGGGCATCCACCAAAAGTTATCCTCCTCCTGTTGCAGCGAAACCTGCCTTTGGGCGGTCTATCCTGAAGCCCTCCACCCCCGTCCCTCCCCCCGAGGGTGAGGAGGTGGGAGAGAGCAGCGAGGAGCCGAATAACACTCCCAAATCAGTCCTGGGCAAAGTCAAAATATTTGAGAAGATGGATCACAAGGCCAGATTACAGAGAATGCAGGAGCTGCAAGAAGCACAGAATGCAAGGGTAAGTGTTGTAAACTATGTCACCAGTGAGTTTTAGATAAGTTCGATTTCAGAACGGCAGTGCACAGCCCTTTTCCCACTGCCGCAGACATGACACGGTGTTCTCACGTGCGGTGCTGGGAGGTGCGTGTGCTGTGCGTGTGGCTTCCAGGTTGCCAGCTCTCAAGAGCACCCCTTTTTGTCTTCCAATCAAGAAAAGTGAGCCGGACGCGGTGGCTCACGCCTGTAATCCTAGCACGCTGGGAGGCCCAGGTGGGTGGATCGCTCAAGGTCAGGAGTGTGAAACCAGCCTGAGCAAGAGCGAGACCCCGTCTCTACTATAAATAGAAAGAAATTAATTGGCCAACTAAAAATAAATAGATAAAAAATAAATAAAAAATAAATACATAGAAAAAATTAGCCGGGCATGGTGGTACACGCCTGTAGTCCCAGCTACTCGGGAGGCTGAGGCAGGAGGATCGCTTGAGCCCAGGAGTTTGAGGTTGCTGTGAGCCAGGCTGATGCCCCGGCAGTCTAGCCCGGGCAACAGAGTGAGACTCTGCCTCAAAAAAAAAGAAAAAAAAAAAAAAGAATAAATAAATAAAAAAAGAAAAAAGTCTATCCACAGAGGTGAAAGAGATTCTGTTCCTCATACATCAGAAGTTTGTTCTGGAATGGGAAAGTGGGAGGAGAGAACCAGTGCCTCTCAGAAGTTATTTTTTAGGGTGTTAGTGGTGTTTATTTGATAACTCAGTCTTATTCACTCCCAGATTTGCCACAGAAACCAAGCAAACTTTGGATGCTAAAATTGAAAAGCCTATAGATTGTACTTTTTGAGCTGTTTTTATACTATGGGCACATATAACCTTTCAAGTGTCAAAGAAGAATTTAACTGAAGATCCTCGGACTATGTTCTGAACAGTAGATATGGGAGTTTTTTCATTCAAGCTTACCACGGCAATAGCAGTGCTTCTGGGCATTTTTCTTCTTCTTTTTTTTATTGTGGTAAAATATATATAACATAAAATTTACCATTTCAACTATTTTTAAGTGTCCAGTTTCTTGGCATTAAGTACATTCACGTTTTTGTATAGCTGTAACCACTATCCACCTCCAGAACTTTCTCATCCTCCCCAAGTGAAACTCTGCCCAGGAAATACTAACTTCCCATTCTCCCTTCCCCCTGGCCCCTGGAAACCACCCTTCTTACTTTCTGTCACTATGAATTTGACAGCTTAGGAACCTCATATAAGTGGAATCATACAGTGTTTGTCTTTTTGTGGCTGGCTCATTTCATTTAGCGTGAATGTCCCTAGGGTTCATCCAGGGTTGTAGCATGCGTAAGAGTTTCATTCCATGGGCTGAGCACAGTGGCTCACGCCTGTAATCCCAGCACTTTGGGAGGCCAAGATGGGAGGATTGATTGAGGCCAGGAGTTTGAGACCAGCCTGGGTAACATAGCAAGATCCCATCTCTACAAAAAATAGAAACATTAGTCAGGCTTGGTGGTGCATGCCTGTAGTCCCAGTTACTCCTGAGGCTGAGGCAGGAAGATCCCTTGAGTCCAGGAATTGGAAATTATAGTGAGCTATGATTGCGCCACTGCACTTCAGTCTGGGTGACACAGCAAGACCCTGGCCCTCACAAAATAAAAAATAGAAAAGAGTTTTATTCCTTTTAAATGGTTTTTCTACTTGACATATACTACTAGGCACCAGGTACCACGATGGAGACCGGAGAGTTGCTTCTATGTTTCTTCTTCTCCTTGAAATGAGATGGGAAGGGAAGTAGAATGTAGGGGGAAAGTGGGACCAGAAGAAAACTAGCAGGCAAACTGTCTAGTAGTTCATTCTTTCTCTCTTGTTGTTTTTGTTTTTCTTGTTTTTCAAATTCCCATAGATTGAAATTGCTCAGAAGCATCCTGATATCTATGCTGTTCCCATCAAAACCCACAAGCCGGACCCCAGCCTGCCTCAGCACGCAAGGTAGGGGCTGCTCAGCAGGTGTGAGCCTCAGGTGGGAGCTTCTCTAGGACTTGGACTTTGAAGAAAGAATTTTCTTTACTCCGATTTTTGGGCAACAGGAGGATTTTTTTGTTTCCCTAGTCATTCAGTCAGATTTAATCATAAAGACTACAGAGTCAAAAATTTATGTTAATTTTGCCTGTGTGCTAAAATTCTGGCAAGGTGTATCATTGATATTTCAAGTCGGTACCCTTTGACACATTAGAGCCCAGTTACTATGCTACATTGTGTTGGGATAGCGCATGAGCAGGATTCCTAGGGCTGAGACCTGTTTTGCTGCTATGTTTTCTGGCTTAGCCAAGCTCCTTAATTCCTTTGTGTCACCCAGCAAAGTCAGGCCACTTGTGCTGCACTGGGGTCTGAAGGGACATTGACAAGCAATTGACCAGTGTGGGTGAGATGCTTTATGTTTAAAATGTGACAGAAGCGCCAGGAATTCTCTCAGCGTCTTCCTGTTGAGGTTTTGCACTAGATCGCTTCCTGTTTCCGAGAATAGGAAAAAAAAAATCACGTTTTCTTGTGGTTGGTCTGCCTGGAAGCTGGAGTCTAGTTTTACAGCAATAGAAAACTAGAAGCAAATTTCTTCCTTACCAGTTGAATGGTGGTAACACAGTCAATCAGGTTGCCCGCTTGCAACAAAGAGGATTTGGTGTAATGGACTGAAACGGGCAGAGAGCTCGCTCAGTGCTGGGTGAGGCTGTCACCAAGGAGCTTAGGGGTGGGGAAGGCACCCCCTGTCTGTCCAACGGGGGAGCACGTGGCTGGCTTCCTCACTTACTGCCCGGGTGGGCCTTGGCCTTGACCTATTTCTCCTAGCCCTGCCTCCGCCACTGAACCTGGGCGAGGCCAGGAATGCCCCTGGCGGTTGGGCAGAGTGTGGCCAGTGAGTGACCAGCCTCGGGGATGGCCCTCTGTGCCTGTAGCCACACCTCCACAGGCAGCCAGGGGGACGGCGCCCTGCAGTGTGTTTGACACTCTCACTCTGTTAGCTCCAGAGCCCCGGAACCACAGAAAAGTCCTTCCAGACTCTATCAGGACGCCAGAGGGAGTTACGGCAGTGACGCGGAGGAGGAGGAATACCGCCAGCAGCTGTCGGAACACTCCAAGCGTGGCTACTATGGCCAGTCTGCCCGATACCGGGACACGGAATTATAGTTGCCCGAGAATGGACTCTCTGGGCCCATCGGCTGCCACGGCAGAGTGACACTGCCACCAGGCCACTGCGATGATTCTCCAGTTAAAATGCACTGCACAGATGCCGTGGGACTTGGGCTGGCGTGTTCTCACGGGGAGCCGGGGACGGGGACAGCCAGCACAAATTAAGAACTGAAGGCTCTGTTTGCGGGACTGGGTTAGAGGAGTCTGTGGCTTTTGCTGAGAAATAAGAGGAATCCTACAGTTTGATACTGTTACTCGCTTCAGTGGACCAAAATCTGTATTAATTCTGTTTGCGTATTTTTGATATGTATATTAAGAAGCAATAACTATCTTTCCTCATCGGTAGCTGCCTTCCAGGACCGTGTCAATGTGAGGTAGAATGTGAAAAAAGGAATAAAAAATACTGTTGGACTCGAACTAAATTCAAATAAGTATTTTATTGCAACTCTCTAAGTGCCTTTGATGAGAAGTGTCTTAATTTTTTCTTCCTTTGAAGCTTTCTGCAGCGCCATAATGGACTAAAACATTATTTTGACTAAATTTTTATACCAGTGTAATAGCCGTGGTTTTCCCTGCACTGTGTCATCTTTTCAAGGCGTTCTGTCTTTGTAATATTTTCCATAAATTCTGACTGTATATATAATAGCTGTATTTGGTAGTTTGGCTATAAGTCTTCAGTAGCTTGAGTCCAAGAAGTTAGTATAGAAAGTTTTTGTTTGTTTGTTTCAAACCAAGTGCTCCACAAAAGCAGATACTCAAGGAAAACACATTTTGTTTCCAAAAGTGTGTATTGACAACTGTTTTATAATTTAATAAAAAGGAGTACATTGCAATCAATTATTTGCTTCCTGGTAGATTTCTGCACTATTTCTGATTTTTAAATGCAATTTTTATTTTAATTACTGATCATAGAAGTGAGAACTTGCTCATTGTTGAACATTGGAAAATGAGACACATATGAAAAAGAAAATAAAAATAACCCCTAATCCCATCTATCAGATAACTGGTGAATTTCCTCCAATTACATATCCATGGATGTCTGTGTGTTGACATTTGAGGGTATACTGTGTTTGCAGTTCTGTTTCCTACTTTTGCTATTTAACATTCTATCACAAATGTTTCTCTTAGGTAGTTAAAACTCCATGCATACATCATTACTGATAACTGCAGGATAATGCATCCCGTGACTGCTTCATAAGTGAACAGTTCTCCTATTATTGACTGGATTGTTTCCAGTTTTTTGCCTTTTTTACATGAAATGTACCTCTCTATGTAATCCATTTTTGTATGTCAGTGATCAGCATTTCAGTCCTTTTCTGTAGGTAAGTTCTCAGAAGTAAAATCACTGAGGAAAAGCATGGGAACATTTTTAAGGTTCTTGATGTTTATTGCCAAATTGCCTCCTAGAAAATTTGCATCAATTTAGACTCCCACATTCACTCTTGGAAGACTGAAATTGGTTAGGAATGTAGGCTCGTATGAGTCGAAAATAAGTACACTGAATTTGGGAAAGGAGGAATAGGGGTCCCCTAATTCCATTCGGGTCTTGTAGGATGTGAATTGACACAGGTGTTAAGCTTGTGCTTTAGCTGAGTTAGAAGTTCACCTTACTGGTAACTGAGTTACACTGTAAACGTGTCCTCGGCTGTGACTTTGTCAGTGTGGGTCCTGTAAGTCATAAACCATGTAGTGCGGCATCTTGAATTTGTAAGCAGTCCTCAAGGCATTGGCCACAATTTGCATATTCCATAAATAAAAGCCACCTTTTGTGACTAGAAAAAAAAAATACACTGGTTAAATATATGATGATTTACTTCCTGAGTGTCCTTTAAATACAGGAATGCGCCCTTTGGCAGAGGTAGGGAGTGGAGGGGAGGAGGCTTTTTAGGAAGAGCTAGGCTGTCATCTGGTCCCAGCAGTTTTGTGACACATTCAATGGTGCAGAGAAGCAGCACCTCTGTTCCTGGGATCACCCAGTAGAGTGCCCGCAGGACTACCAGCGCCGTCCGCCCCCTTTTTTATTCATACCCTGCTTTGTTCTGGGAAGGACTTAAGGCTGCCTACAAGAACCGAGGACTGTAAGGAAGAAACCGGTGCTAAGCAAATGAGGTAAGGGGAGAAGAATACCAGAATAGGGAAGATGGAGCCGTGAGCGAGGGTAGTATCCCCTCCGCGAGCTGTCAGGGCCCCGCGGCTCTCCAGAAGCTGGTGTGGAACCCGAGATGTGATTGGGTATGCGGCTTGATTTGGCGTCCATAGGGGGAACAAGTTATTCAGGAATTCTCTTCCCTTCTGCATTAGTTTCATTCTTTGGCAGGATCTCATGTTGCAACTGTATACTTGCCCGGTTGATTTTGGAGGTGTCTTTCTTGCTGTGTTCTTTTATGTAGGGCAGTGGCACAGTTGCAAGGGCCATATAGTATAAGTTCTTGAGAAAAGACCAAAAATGGCAGTGTAAAAGCACCACTCGGCAGTCTGGCTTCATCCAGAGATCCCTTCTGGAGTGTCTCGGGCCAGTGCCTCCCAGATAAGAATATGACATGAATGATGCCCCAAGGTAAACATGTTATCCGTCTTTCTGGGAATCCATGTTACTCGCACATTGGGGGAGGGGTGTTTTACATCCACATGTAGGGTAGATGATACAGCAGACTGCAAACCTCACACAAATCTGTAGGAATGAAACATGGGGCTTGACTGAAGTTTCCCACTCTCAGTAGGTCTTTGGGCTACTCCTTCCATGCCCTTGACTCATACCTTCCAGATCACTTAACCAGGAGAAAATGACCTCTGATCAGGCTCCTCCAAGATGACCCAACAGGAAGAGCTGTGGGAGAAAGTTATCTTCATCTTCATGCCTTTGATCTTTTTTTTTTTTTTTTTTTGAGACAGTCTCACTTTGTTGCCCAGGCTAGAGTGAGTGCCGTGGCGTCAGCCTAGCTCACAGCAACCTCAAACTCCTGGGCTCAAGTGATCCTTCTGCCTCAGCCTCCAGAGTAGCTGGGACTACAGGCTTGGGCCACCATGTCTGGCTAATTTTTCCTATATATATTAGTTCGTCAATTAATGTCTTTCTATTTATAGTAGAGACAGGGTCTTGCTCTTGCTCAGGCTGGTTTCGAACTCCTGACCTCGAGCAATCCTCCCGCCTCGGCCTCCCAGAGTGCTAGGATTACAGGCGTGAGCCACCACTCCCGGCCCATGCCTTTGATCTTAAGTCTACATGAAATTAACCTTCAGTCCCCACAGTGTACGTTGTAGACATTGATTTATCCAACGACTCTGTTAAGTGCCTGCCACGTGCCAGCTCCAGGACATGAGCAGCCCTCCCTCAGCCGCCTCCTCAAGTCCTCAGAGGTTTCCCGGGGGAGAAAAGTAGACCCTTTTTGGGAAACAAGAGCCTCCTAGTAGGGCCGACTTCTCACTGTTTTAACACTGCAGGAAGAAAGAGGGAAAGAACCATGCACCAACAGGCCTGTGGCTTTGCTGAGAAGGAAGAGGACCCATCTTGGATCACAAGCAGATGGGAGGCAGGATGGTGTGTCCAGTGGTGACAGAACCTGCCATGGCCCCTGGTGTCAGAAGGTTCCACATGAACCGTTTCTTCAACAGCAGCAGCCTATTAGTGTGGCAAGAATACGCTTCCCCGGGGCTGGTATGCTACAGGCTGGCTTGGGACACACTGTTGTCTCGGTGGCCCCCAATACAATAGCTATGTCTGTTGGACACCTGGAACTGAAAACATTCAATATCTTGATACTGAAAACATTCAATATCAAAACATTTAATATATTGCCTGATACTGAAAACATACAACATCTGCGTGCACGGCTTAGCAGGTCAGGAAAAGTCTCGGGAAGCCGGGGTGCCTGCAGGCAGGAAAATGAGGGCCCAAGGCATGACTGGGCTGTGAATGGAAGAGTCCTCCAAGATCAGAGTTTGTTTTTGTGTAGTGTCTTACTTAGGATGGTCTGGCAGAGACATCAGACAGGGGTCCTCAAACTTTTTAAACAGGGGGCCAGTTCGCTGTCCCTCAGACCGTTGTTGGAGGGTGCGCACTGTGGGCCCGGGACGAGTTGGCCGCTAAGCAGGACAGGCATCGGCGGCAAAAACACCCATTGGGCCGGGTAAATGTCCTAGGTGGGTGGCATGTGGCCCGCTTGCCGTAGTTTGAGGATTCCTGCATTAAAAGAACCAGAGAAGTGTCCCCTAGAGAGAGTGGAAAGGGAAAGCCTCCAATCCTGTATTAATCAGGGTTCTTAAGAAACACAGAACCAACAGTCTGTGCACTTGACCCTTGAGCAACGTGGGGGTCAGGGGTGCTGACCCCTGTGCAGTCAAAAATCCACGGATAGCTTTGGACACCCCCAAAACTTAAGCACTAATAGCTACTGTTGACCAGAAGCCTGACTGATAACGTAGTCAATTAACACATATTTTGTATATGTATTATATACTGTATTCTTATAATAAAGTAAGCTAGGGAAAAGAAAATGTTATTAAGCAAATCATAAGAAAGAAAAAAATATATATATCCTATTCATTGAGTGAAAGTGGACCATCATAAAAGCCTTTGTCCTCATCACCTTCACACTGAGTAAGCTGAGGAGGAGGAGGAGGAAGAGGAGGGGTTGCTTTTGCTGTCTCAGGGTTGGCAGAGGTGGAAGAAAATCTGAGTATAAGTTCAAACAGCTGAAACCCATGTTCAAGGCCCAAGTGTGTATGTGTGTGTGTGTGTGTATTATAGGGATTTATTTTAAGGAATTGGTGTACACGATTGTAAAGGCTTGGTAAGTCCAAAGTCTGCAGGGTAGACCAGTAGGCTGGAAACCCAGTTAAGCGTTACAGTCCAAGTTCAAAGGCAGTCTTCACTTCTAAATAGGGGAGGTCAGTCCTTGTTCTATTAAGGCCTTCAACTGATTAGATGAGTCCCACCCACATTTCAGAGGGCAATCTGCTTTACTTGACATTCACCAATTTAAATGTTTAATCTCATTAAAAAAAATACTTTCACAGAAATTTCCAGAATAATGTTTGACCAAATATTTGGACACCATGGCCCAGCAAAGTTGACACCTATAAAATGAACCATCCCAACACACCAACCCCATATAGGCCACTGTGCAGCCTTGCTGTTCAGTGTGTTAAAGCATGAATGAATGAACAAACCAGAAGAAGGGAGAATTATTTACATACATCTGCACATATGTATAGATTTTATATGATATTTATATACTCTACATATGCACATGCTATATATTTATACTGATTGAAATAAAAAAACAAATTTAATTTTAATGAATAGAAAAGCCTTCAAAATGAAAACAAAAACAAATGAGATTCAAATAATAGAATTACAATCCCAATAAAAATAAAATATTTGACATTTTAAAATATTTAGTGAAATAAGACTTAAAAGGCTGAATGGCAAATAATATACAGATAAATGTTTGTGTATAGAGAATTATAAATAAAACATACATTATTTCCATCCTGCCTTTTATTTTAAATCTCATTATATATTCCTAGATATAAAATCAGCACATTTTATATTCCCCGAACTGGTGACTGCAATGACAATAATAATTGCTATTTATTCTGTGCAATAAAAGGCGGGGTGTGGTTTCATTGCTTTTGCACTGTCCTCAGATGCTGTTCCACCTTCGAGAGGGCCCAAATCCAGGTTCCTCCTGAGTCCGAGTTTCTCCAGGAAGGGTAACAGGGGGAGAAGATTCTGACTGAAATATATTATCCTGGGAGAGATGGCTTGGGCTTTGAGAGTGCAGTTGTTCCTCAGTACCTGAGGGAGATTGGTTCCAGGACCTCCCACAGATA